CATCACCCACTGCAGGGAGGGAGCCCTACTGTATAACCCAGCATGTGGAGCTTTCTATACTTGGAGAAAAAAGGTAGAAAAATATTTTAGCACAGAAGGCTCTACTTTTATTTGAGAACTCTAGCTATTAAAATAAAGAAATTAAAAAAATAAAATCTATTTACAAAAAACTCCAACCCATACACAAAGTCATGTCATCAACTTGAAACTCTTTTCTTCCTGTGAAAGGCAAGTTTCCATAGCATTCTTTTGCCCAGTCTCCTTGAAATTTTCAAACACACAAATATTTCCCATGACAGAGCAACTATATTAAAGCTCCTTAGTCACACTGGTGTGGTTTACACAACACACCTTTTACAATCCCACAAAAATGTACCACTGCTAAATGCCTGTCTGAAAACCTCAAGTCCGCAGCATTCAAAAGAAAAATGCTCCCAACCACCCGCCGCTAGTACGTCAGATATTTGAAGTACGTGCAAGCAGACACTGAGCTGATAGGTTATCACCAGCCACTGTGGCAACAGCTATGCCTGCATACTCCAGGGAGGAAATACAAAGTCATGGTGAATTTTTAACTTTGATGTTTATAAGATACCTGTTGACCTTCAAGACTTGAGTCATATATTCATCCTTGGGACGAGAGCAATACTGGCATGGCCTGGGGAGTTTGCTCTGCCCAGGATATTCCTCAAGCCCTGGAGATGAGTCTTTAAGGCTGGCAAACACCTACCCGCAGAGGGACTGAGACCATAACCCCTTGGCAACACCCCATTACCAGCTCCCCAGAGCCAACCTGCCATTTTATCTAACAGCACACTTAATGATCCCAAACTCCTTTGAAAACTCACCTGATTGAGATAATTCATACTTAGATCAACAGAGTGCATTCATCTGTCAGCAAGGGATCAAACCTACATGGGTCCTTGTTGCCTATTAAATATTGCAGCTGCTTCTTCCCCATCATCACTTCCCCTTGCTTTGCAGCGTAGTTAAAGGGAAGGTGCAAATGCCTTTCAGAACAACCCACATGATCCTACAAGGCACATGCTCTGCTACAGCTGCTGTCACTTCAGCAGGACTCCACTGTACTGCCTCCATCTCCTAAAGAGGCCTCTCAGGTGTTACGGAATGGGGAAAAAACTCTGTAAAAGTGCAGGGCAAGGAGCAGCAGCATAAGGCCACAGTCACAGTAGTTTTGGGAATGGAAATATTCAAATACACAGCAAAGTCCTATTGGCAAACAGTATTTAAATGGTAGGAAAAACAGCCCTCTGCTTCTGTGGGATGGTGAAGTCAAGAGGGTGCAGACCAGCCTGACATGGGGTGACTGAGGGAGGCAGTAGTGAGCACAGGCAATCCCAGTGCTGGAAAGGAACCAGATTGACCACTGCCGTAGTGTTGCCCCTTGACACCAAGTGGTAAGTCACTGTTTCAAGTCACTCACTTCTGCAGTAGAACTGCTCATACTCAGAAGTTTCTGGGAAATGGAAATCTTCAGCCTAAGGAAGTCTTTCACCAGACTGGAAGTGTGATGGACGTTCAAGTTCAGCATGCAGTGCAGATGCCTCCAGAGACAGAGGCTGTTTGCCACTGACTTGCTTGTTACGAACTCTGTAAGCAGAATCCTCTTTTCCTACAGCTTATCTGTATGGATGAAAACTGGCCAGCATTAAATCTAAGGAAACCTTAAAACAGCTTCTAAGCAAAACCTTAGAAACAGCTTCTCTGGAAAAATGATTACTCATTCATGGTCATTCATTTGAATTAGTTAACACATGATATATCATGTACACTGTACATGTGTACACTGTACATGTGTACACTGTACATGTGTACACTGCTGAAATCCAGGACCTGAATAGCTTTATTTAACAACCATGCTCTTCTGGGCCTTTGTTGACCAATTTCATAGTCTAAACCAAATTACTATGGATCTGAATGTATTTACTAGAAACATTATCCAAATGCACTCAGAAAACCAGTGAGCCGGTTTCCTTGAAATCTTGTTGCCTTCATTCCTGTTATTCATCAGCACTTACATTTGATGCAGGAACTTCTGTGTTTCCACCTCAGATCAGTGGCATGCCAATCATTTTGCTGCTTTCAGTGACCTTCTGCTCCATGAACCTGTGCTGGTACTTCATGGTTTACTTAAATATCATACTCAGTAAGTTCCAAATGGGAAATTACTTAAAACATTTGGAATGCACTATACTCACCTTCATAAATGCACTAAAACATAGAGCCACTGAGTCCTGGAACACAGAAATGCCATTAACAGTGTCACAACAGAGAGAGTAGAAATATCCCACAAATCTACTTTTCTGCAGAATCTTTTTGAATCATCTTATCATCCCCTACGTAGCAATGAATTCCCACAATATATTACAAAAACTCCTCTTTGTCTTCACAACAGATTTTTTCATGGATAGTTTTTAATCTTTGAATCCATCAACTTCCTCACCTTTTGTAGCCTCAAATACATTCAAACACTGCTTTTAGTTCCCCTAACCAGAATATACTTTCATGTACAGTAATAGCAGGATTGTTTTTCTTCTTGGTGCAGTAGGGGAGTAGGAAGAGACTAACAGAAGACTGAGCAGCTTTTCTTGTGGAACTCCCTTTATTCACCTTACTTAGAAGATATGAAAAGAACAATTTGCCTAATTTAGAGTTCTAGAAAGGAATCTTCCAGAACCAAATATAGGCATAATACCAATTAGCTTTATGCTTGATCTGCAGAGAACATATATTGAGGCAGCCAGGTACCTTCAGCCCACTAATCACTTTTGTTTAAGAACACAAGAGCCAATATTTTACATAAAGATACAAAGATTTTATCTGAAACTTCACTAGGGGCAGCATGAGACCTTTGACATTTAAAGCTAACAAGTGGGAGATGTTCAGGCAATGCCAATGAAGCAAACATTCAGGTTTTTTACAGAATCCTTACTCAGGCAGAGCCATAAGCAATTAAAGACAACCCTTAGGGGACAAACTGCTTTCTTTTAACAGAACATTTTGTCCCAAAAGGTTCACTTATTTTGAATAGTAACAGGAAAGGTGGGGGAAGGTTAATTTAAAATATTCTGGTAATTCTCATTAAATTAAATGGGTCTCTTTTATTTTTCCAGTCCTAAATGTTACAGTGACAGAGTTAGGAGGAATAACCAGAAAAACCCAAATATCACCAATCCCCCCCCACAGAACAACCTCTTGCAATCTTGAAAGTCTGTTCATATTTGAAAACTAATATACACTGAAAAACTCCTGCAACCAACATATACTAACAGAGACCTGAAATTTAGGAGGCAAAACTCCTGAAGACAACCTGCATTGGAAGTTTGCTGCCTACACAGTAATTTTCTCACCTCGGTAGTTACTGTGCTGGTCTTCCTGTGATCCTCACTCAAATTCCTACAACTAGTGGGAAGTAGAACCGTGAGTAGCAAAAGCTACACTTTTCAAGGGGCTGGAGAGACTAGACCCATTAGCCTATGGGGGTAAAGAGGCTACATTTAATACTAACAAACTAAAGATTCTCATTTCACTTTCTCCAAAGTTAAGTTGCTGTCACAGTTTTTAGGCTTGTGCAAATTTTCAAGTTTTCTAAACAGTGAATAAAATTCAGTGTAGGTGAGCAGCCACTCTCACAGGCAGCTGCCCTGCTTTAGAAAGTGGCAACTTAACCATGGCCCTGTTATTTCAGTCTCATGACTATAAAGTTATCTCCGGCACTGCAATTGCTTGAGAAGTCAGAAAAGAGATGGAGAAGAAAAATCCAAAATACAGCCGTGGCACAGGAGACGTAGGAGGAGACCCTGAATGAAAATGGCTGTAAAGTCACAGGTCTGGGAGCCAAGGAAATTGAGCAAGTTCAGTCTACCACCTGCTATGTAAAAAGAGTTTAGGCTAAAACAATTTCTGTGCATTAAATGTCTCTCCTGTAACAGCTCTGTTGATGTGATTATCTTTTTCAGAGAAGAGCAGAAGTAACAAGACAAAGCAGGTATACAAAACTTTTTATTGACAACAGAACAATAGAGAGGAACGTCACCACTTCCCATTCCTCAGGAATGTCTCCATTTCACAGTCAGTCTGCTAAAAGCATACTTTCATGGCAACGAGCAACACGAAGGCATGGAGCTGTGTAACCTCCAGAGAGATGTTCCATCAGTGCAGCGCGAGGGGACCGACGGCGCGCACGGGAGCAGCAGGCCCTGTCACAACACAGCCGTGGCAGGAACAGCGAACGCAGAGCCGACAGGCACAGACATGAAGCAGGCAGAAACCTCAAGTTATCTCTATTATCTCCATCTAAGGGTGATACCCAACCTGTTATTCCATCCATATTCTGTTTCAGGGGGGAATACTTTATTCCCTCACTCTTTTTTGCTTTCCCTGTCCTCAAAGACGTCCATACTTCCAGCTGAATGGTACCGTGTCAGAGAACACCTGAGCTTTTATACTTTGCTACCTCATACCAGTTCATGCATGCACTTGAGTTTACTTTCAGAAGATTACATTGACATAAAGAGGGGGGAAAAAAAGTGCTGTATAAGAAGAAAAGGATTTAGTTGTTAATGCTTCCTTGCTAACAAAAATATTTGGTAGTTGAATATAATCCCTGTAATGTCATTTTCAAAAAGTATGTAGGCAGTCTACTTAACATTTTAAAGAAACAGCACATCAAACTCAGCATAATTTCAAACACTCCAAAATTAAATTCAATCTAAACAACAAAATATCTTTAGTTTTCACAGTCCACAGAACTGCACACTCAGTGCAAGATGAAAGCTGTCTCTCTCCTGCATAAGGTTTCCTCTGCCTGCAGAACTGTACTGGGGACCCTGTGAAGTAGCTTACACGTTTATAAACATTTATTCATTTATCATGTTTTTCCTTTACTTAAAGGATGTGCCTGTGGATGTGTAGACTTGTAAAGTGCTTTAAAATAAAACAAAAACCCCTACAAAAGAAAAAACTCTCAAAAAACCACAGAGATGTGAGAATTTTATCTGAAGGACTTTGTACAGCATTTACAATGTCGTCATAAAGCATGTGAAACATGAGCATTCCCTGCAGACTGATGCAGTGCAAGCAGTCTCACACATTAGATACTGCAATTCCTCTGGATTCAAGATGCACAATACTTACAAAAACAACCCTAGAAGCACAGACAAATGCTGGTGGCTCTTCCTCTTCTTTTTAGAAACATAATTAAAAAATCTGCATTACTCTCTCATAATTTAAATACATAAGTAATCTCCACTTTTATTACTTCATGACAATTACTTCAAATTTACATTATTTTAAGTACCGTCAGAATAGCTCCATGTATAATACAGATATTTGCTGATATCCTGTCAGAAAATAAAAAAAACCAAAACCTTCCACTATATAAAAAAAATATGCTGGAAAGACAAGAACACAGAACAGGGACTTGGTACGGACTATGATTTCAGTTTTATATCAACCACAGTTAACCCAAAATTAACAGATACACAGCGATATTCAAAAGCAGTGCAAATATCTTTGGAGTTTAGAATAAAATTATACTACAAGAACATAAGACAGAAGAAATTAAAAGGCAAGTACTTCAAGTACAGGAACCAGTCTCTGTGAGGTCCACCTTAGTGTTAAGCTGGGAGTTCCTTTTCCCATCTTACTTCTTCCTCTGGAACACATTAGCCAACATTGCACCTGATGTAGTCAGCTGGCCCATTTTGTTCAAAAACTTGGTCTTTGTATCTTCACTTACCAGGCTCGCTGCAATTGACATCGAGCTAGGAAAGGAAAACATTTAGTGGCATGAGACTACAAATTAAAAAGAACATTATGCTGTTATTTATTAAGCAACTAAATTGTCTTTGTGTTTCATAGGTTTCAACAAAAAAGACCAGTCTGTGAAGAAAAATTGAAAACCCATAACTACCTAGTCCATATATATACTGTTAAATTTATTATAATGTGTTCACAGTGCCTGTGAAAACAGTAAAATATTTTTGTGCACTAATTTTTAGTACCTTTGGATGTCACCACATCAGCATTTGCTACCTACTGGGGAATTGCTATAGTGACAAATACCTCTCTGAAAGACTGACTGCCTTTGCCTTCTCACCAGAAATGTCAATTCTTGTGTTTATTTAGTGTAAGTTCACCAGTATCAGTTCAGACACAGAACTTTCTAACACAAGTAACCTGCCTCCAACAGTGACATTAGCAGATGTGTAGAGATGAGCAAAAGCAAGGTAAGTACAAAACAGTGATCTCTCTCCTTAATTTTCAACTCTTGATTTTCCAACTACTTTCACCTGAGCAGAGTTAAAAACTGGTGAGGATTGTCAACCTAGTAACTCTCAATAAATCTTTATTTTATATTACTTAATCAGCTTTCCTTTGATTTCCTTATAAATTTCTTGCAAACCCCACCCTGAGCCTGACTGGGTCAGCCCCTTGCTGGGTAAGGAGCTGCTTCTTCTGGTTCTTGTGAATGTGGCTCCTGTTACCTGTGCTTGGAAGTTCCTAATTGAGACATACTACATAGGACAATGGAGAGTTCATAGGTTTCCCACAAACTGGACTGAGCAATCCAATCAATGCTGAAGCTACAGGATGCTAAGCTTTGAATAATACATTAAGAAATTGTCCCTACTATGTTAAATTAACAGATTTTTTTAAATTAACAACATATCAGCGAGCTCAACTTCAGATATATATAAACTGTTTAGCACAGTATGAGTCATCTGTCTCAAGACAGAGCAAATGTACATAGCAGGAATATTAACAAATATTCCATACTTCCTATATTTCTAGTCAAAATGGCAAGTGTTTATCAACATTGGACAAGGACAATTTTAGAAAACATTACCAAATAAATTCTCCCTTGTGAACTCAGTGTGGACTCTGCATTTCAAAATTATAGCTAAGACCACAAAATCTGTCTTACAGGCAAAGGCCAGATTCCAGGAACTGACTTTTCAGTCTGAAAAGTTATAAACAGTTCTGTTAGACACACTTGCATCAAGGACATAAAACTGAAGTTAACTCTGAATTGTTTCAACAAAACTTGAATGATTTCTTCAAAGGTAGAAGGGATACACACAGTTCTTTCTCCCATTTCACAGCACAGAAAAACGGTGCTTAGTAATAATGATTTCTGGATCTTTTTAAAGTACCATAAAAATAAAACAGAAGCTTCTCACTAAAGCTGTATTGTGGATTTACAAATAGTTTAATTATAAACTTTTAAAGTAAAATATTTATTTCAGGAACTATCACGTAGCCAGACATCTTTGGCTTGATTAAACATCTCCAGTCAACTAATGAATCACATATTTCCAGCTGATAAAACTCAGCTGGGAAATTACTGCTACAGTAAGATGAATGCCTTATGCAATTTCCTTTGAATTCATGATAAAGCAAGGGCATATAAAGTATATAAGTAACAGTTTGCACTCACTATCAGCTAGTTAAGGACAAGAAGCTATCTCAGACCATGAGGTATCCTAGAATTGGGTGTAGCTATGAAAACGTATTTGGGAAATACTGTACATTCCAAGCATTAGCAGCATTAAGAAAATAAAAGCGCTCACTTCGGAAAAGAAAGCCTAGCAACTGGTGACAAACCTGTAGTTCTAAACAAACTATGCTTTCATTAGTCTAATGATCCTGGATAAGATTGAGGAAAACAAGGAGGTATTCTATTGGTTCTTGAAACAGTTTGGGGCATACCAGCCATCTGATGTCAAAAATTAAACAGTAACAACTACAGAGTCTACAAGTTCATGTTTTCTAATACTGTTACTGTAAACAGAAACATAATCCACGGCATCCTGCATACTTAACAGTTTAAATATTCAAAATAAATAGCCTCCAAAGTGCTTCCATTACTATGCAAAGTGAATATTTAAACATAGAAAAAATTAATATGAAATGAAATAATTTGAGTCTCACATCTTTAAAAAGTAATCAAAGAACCCAACAAAGCAATAGTATATCTTGTTTAAAACAATCCATTATTTAAAAAGCAAAACAAAACCCAACCCACAAATAAAAATAATGTGTAAATATCAAATTTTTCCTGGTGTCCAGATGAATCAGATGCCACACAGAGTTCTGCCTGTTTTATGGGGAAGCTCTAGGGCAAAATAAACATTCCTAATGGGCATTTTATAGCAATCAGTTTCTAATATAAGTTGTTACCCATGATTAAAATACCTTGTTAATTGCTAAACAAAATATTTAACAAAAGTGGCTAATATTTAAAAACGCAGAGTTTAATCTTCTGAAAAAACAATTTCTTTGATCTTGTATTATTTGACCAAGTTTTCTAACAGCAAGGGGAAAAGACAGGATAAGAACATCAAAAGATTGCTTTTGCACCTATTTTGATTTCTGTGCCTCCACTGCCGTGCTGTTAACAAACCCCAGTAATTTATATCCCAGCTGTATTTAAATCCTTTGTCAAAAATGTATTTGTCATTGAAATTAGGAACTGAAATCAGCAAGCACTTAGCAAGAAAACAGATATTTACGTATATGAAAAGGTCATTTCTTCAGTGGTAAAATATTTCTTGTTAATTTTGTACAGTACAAGACTACAACCATAGCCTGACGTTGAATAAGAAAGGGGAAGGCTAATTAAAGAACAAAGGAACAGATTGCAAAGACTTATCCTTTTCATATCTCAGTTTTCAGCAGTTGCATTCATAAAGAAAATACATTAGATGATGTATAAGGTTTGCATTTATTTATTTCTGCAATGGCTTAACAGGACTGACTGTCATTTCAAAGTATTTGCTACTAATAAAGCCTGAAGTATTTTACTTGGCGCCTGAGAGACTGACCCTTTTTCTATTTTACACTTCTTCTGTTGAGTTCTTGTACACCTTTCTTATTTTAATCATTCTCAGACTACGAGTTGCTTCCAGCTCACTATGGGTGAGCTCTTTCAAGAAGTAAATTCTATCCGCTTTTTACAGATAAGGAAACATTACATGAACAAGCTTCAGTAATTGTCTCAATTCTCATGACAAAGCATTGGGATTGAGAACAGATTCTCTTTTCAGATACCTTCTCACACACTTCCTTGGCAGCACTGCTAAGGATTTGTTAAGTTGTATAATAATCCACAAGAATTTACCTGCTGGCATGCCATTCCAGTCAATAAGCAGGCAAAAGAGCACATACAACTCATCATAATGACACTGAGCATTCCAAATTTCCACATCCAAGGTGGGTCTGTTGGCTACTTTTGTAATCAGGAAGTGCACACAAATGACACCATCTCTACAGGTGAAGAAAATGGATGCATGAACACTGTGTGTCTGCTGCCTCCCTGAAGAGCTGGGTTTACTCTGTGTTTGTGGAAAGGTTGTTTTACCAAAGTGCAACACAGGCGGCCTTTTCCCAAAGTCAGCTTACTGCCTAACCAGTACACTCACACAGGGGTCAGTTTATACAATGGGAAACTGCTCTTGTGTGCCCCAGTCCTGTGCAAACTGGGACAGCAGCCTGAAGGAAGCCCTTCCCAGGACCAGAACAATTCCCTCAGCCTGCAGGTTGCCACCCCCATGGGTGGCAAAGTGTCTGCTACATATATTGCTCTAAGCACTTAGGCCAGGCACTCCCTGATTTCTCAGATTCAGGACAGAAATTTAAACTCAGCTTTAAATGAACAAAAAATTAAGAACCAAGAAAATCATTCTTATAAAAGCAATTGTTGTCTCATGTTTTACACTGGAGACAGAAACAATCACTGTATTAAGGTTTCCAAAATCTGTTTTGAAACACAGCACATGTCAGTGCAGGATTTCAGGTCACAAACCTTGGACAACATTATGGAATACACTCTGCAGAACACTTCTCTGGAGGCACATAGAAAAAGGGAAGTGGAAGTCTTACCCTTGTGGTTCTTGGACGGTCTTGTTTTCCACTTTCTGTTCACATTCTTTTATCATGGAGCTCAAAATAACCTAAGACACATAAGGAAGAGAGATACATGACATTTGACATTTTTCCTTTTACATTAACACTTCTTACGAAATCTTCTCTGCAAATAATTCTGACATTAGCAGAACTAATGTCAGAATTAAAACTAATGTTTAAAACTAATGTTTAAAACATTTTCCTGTTTTTTTTTTGAAGTGCCTTTGAGTTCCAGTTATCTGATAATGCCTTGTGGTTAGAAACAACAAAAACGTTCAAAATAACTTAAGGAAGAAAACGTTTTCCAAATAGTTACAGAAGTTCAGGACTCTGTCCTTTTGCCCCAGGCTTTTAAAAACAGCACTAAAACAAATGTACATCTGTGACATGCTATATCTTCATGAACATTATGCAGAAAGAAAAAGCAAGGAAAGAAAAAAGTGTGATGGTATCCTAGGACAATATCTTAATGAAAGAAGTGCTAAAATCAACTTGATACCATTCCACTGGTGTCTTCCAGAGTTCCTATGACTCATGGCTTTTTCCTTTTATTTAAGCAAGTACAGTGTTAAAAAGGTTTCTGCAGAATATTTAAGTCTGAAGACACTTCCACACTGACATTTTTACACTTATCCAAAAATAAGGACATGATTCCCAATAGCAGGCTTTAAAACAAAATCATACAGTTAATTCATGGGACAGGTAAATATCTCCCTGCCCTGTTCACAACAGTACTGTTTCAGCACATTAAGACAAAAGTGTTTTGTCTTAGGTTGCAAATGCAAGATGTGGTTGGGGGTGTGTATTCTATTGCCATCTGTTAGAGGTGGGACAGTTATCTTCTGTTATTTGGGCAGTTTTTCTTTATCTCTTCCACAACCCATCCTCCCTCCAGGAGATATCTTCTGTTGTTGGGCCACTGAATCTCACTGCATATCTGATAAAATTACATCAACCCAGTGTGAGATGCTCCGCCCAAGGGGAGGAGCCAAGCATTCCTTCCTGGATATAATCTGAGCTTTGGAACACCATAGGCAGCCTTTTTCCCCTTCCCAGAGGAAGAGCAGGCTCATCTACACCACCCCTGGAGCTTCAGAGGAAAACTACACCCTTCTACAGGATCATTGCTGCAACAGAACCACATCTGCCACTCCAGGAGGACTGCAGCCACCATTTATTGGGACTGCTACCAATACCCTGACCAACAGGGTGTCAGGTCATATTCTGACTCTGTCAGTGTTGTTTTGTATTACTGCATTTTAATTTTTACTTTTCCTAATAAAGAACTGTTATTTTTACTCCCATATCTTTGCCTGAGAGCCCCTTAATTTTCAAATTTATAACAATTTGGAGGGAGGGAGTTTACATTTTCCATTTCAAGAGAGGCTCCTGCCTTCCTTAGCAGACACCTGTCTTTTCAAACCAAGACATGTTTTGCAACACTTAGGCAAAAAAGTTAGAATGCAAAGTATGAAACTATAATATGTACATATACACACATATATAGACACACTGCATAAATGGAAACTTCCTCTGCCACAGCTCAGAAGAAGGTTAAGTACTTTTTTGAGACTCTAAACTTAAAATCTCAAAGCTACAAGCAATTAAAATTAGTATTGCCTCACCAAACCTGAATATATACAACAAAGGAAAAATACTATTTTCAATCTCTAAAATACTGATCAGTCACTAATGGTTACCACCAACTGATAACTATTTTTAAATGTTTTTGCATAAATTAAAATGCTGGTTTCTGTCAAGTCTGCAGCACAACCATTAATTACACTGATAAGATGTGGTCTGGTCTGCAGACGTGTGCCACTGCTCACTCTATGTTTCCACAAGTATTACTTCAGCATTTGAATCATTTTAGGTAGCAGGTGTTACACACCCTTGAGTGTTTCAGAGAGTGGCATTCAAACAGGACAACAACTCTTCCTACTACATTTTCTGTCCTCCATTGGCATAAAATGTTATACAAATACAGAATGCTTAAGAGAACAGAGGTACAAGAGAAATATATTCAGAATTTTTTTCTGTATCAAAAAAGACGTGAAATTTTCAAGCACAGCCGCCATAATTTTTGTTACTTATAATTTCCACCTGTGCACTGGAGCTTTCCTACATTTTCATACATCTGAATACAGATGTTCCAAATATCAACAATATGAAGCTTTGACCAAAGAGGAGAATAATTCATCAAGGACCCAGGATCATTTCAATAAGAGGATGGCTGTGCCATCCATTGCACAGCTCTTTCTGGGAAGGCTGTGTAATTCTTGGATGAAGTGGAGCAATTCTTTCCTCTTCTGCAGATTAATGTCTAAATTTCTACATTATGGCTTTGCACATACTGCTCAGACCTATTCCCTTGGGTTCTCCTTGTTTGGTCATAGGACTGATTATGAAATCACATCTCCTTAAAGAGAAATATTTTAGAGTACTAACTCTATATTTAGAGACACTTAAGAGACTTAACATGCTGAAGTCTTATAAACAGTACTGCAGTATATGGACTAAATGTTTTTACGAAGTACTGACTCACTATCATGCAACTCAAATCCACTTACTTTGAAAACCCATAGAAGGTAAGTGGAAAATGAGGAAGAAGGGACTTGACATTGAACTAGAGATGCTGGTAAAGTATATGAATGTCTGCACAAGGTGAAATGTTTCCTTTAAAGATGAGAAGGTCTGACCTAAATGTCCAACTTGCACTTTTATTTATATGAAAGAAAGGAAAACAAGTATGAGGTATGAGTGGTAAGTGCTGCCAGACAGGACCACACAAGCCAATTCCACAATGTTACCCTTCCAAGATGAGCATAAACTCTGTACTGACGTTAAAGCCATTAGAGCTAAGGCTCTGTGATTTAGAAAATGTATGTGTGTTTGTCAAGTGATACGCCATTTGAATAATGAATAACACCATAGAGGCCAAAATAGTAAAAAAAGGCTTAATTCTGTTTATGCAAATGTCTAATTATTTGAGACAGTAAATGACATTAATTTCAGAAAACAAGATTTTCAGATAGAAGGCTTCCAAGACACACTAGAACTCACTGGGTCTCAGAAGCCTCTATCATGATGCCTACAAACATCCCATTCAAGTGGGAAGCTGATCAGGCCCTAGATATCCATTCCTACAAAAAAAAGGGATAAAAATTGCAAAGCCTGTAGTGAGTTTTCCAACCCACTGGAGCAGGAGTAAATACTTTTAATTTTATATTGCTCTCTGGCTAAAAAGCCAAAGCAGGTGGCATCATGACTTAAGTCACTTAAGCACAGTAATGCAGAATGTGGTAATGGGGAATTGAGAGCGGTCTTTACCTACTGATTTATTTTAAATCCTATTCCAGTCCTCAATTCCTTCTCTGACTACAAGATTCAAACTCAATCAACTTCCTTGTTGTAATTCAGGGTATCTTTTGAACTACAGACTTTAAAGACTATGCCTTTAAACCTTAGAAGTTACATTAACTAAAAAAATGAAGTATTTGATCAGTTCTCCCATGGGTGAAAGAAAATGAAGCTTTTGCCTAACTGGATATATTGTAGCCATTGATTTTAGTGCATCCTTGGTTTGACTAAAATAAAGATGGTAAAAACATTTCCTTTTTCTTCAGTCTAGGAAGATCTATGTTTCCACATGCATTTCTGATGGTTGAGTATTTGTCTGCAGAGATTCTCAGCTTAGAAATATATTTTACCAGATTTTACTGGTTTTGAAATCATGTGACCTATTCTTTATCAAAAAAACCTCCTCAATGTCATGTTTTGAAACCACTTATGAGCAGCTCTCCTTAACTTCTGGTTTTAAATGCCATCACATTTCAACTTCTGCCACCTACATCTCATACTCAGTAAACATAATTTACTGCTCACCTCATGCTCTGGAGAGAGATGTTCCATGTCGGTTCGTAAACACTTCAGTCCTGGTAAAAAGTGATTGACCATTAAATCCTCTGAAATAACTAAAACCCAGGTTGTTAAGGTATTATAAGGATTGTCTTTTGAAATTACACTTTTTTTTCTGTCTTCTGATAATGTTGCTTTATGGAACACAAGGGCAGCAGCAAAACTAAGAAAACGGAACAGCATTTGACACTTCACAGCTAATAAAAAGGAAAAAAGATCTTGAACGTATTTAACATCATGTATTTCATACACCCATATAATCCTTTTAAGATTTTTTTCTTGATTTATTAGTTAAGATCAAGAGTTTTGTTTTTGTAGCTTTGTTTTTTGAAGTATCTATCAGTTCCACTGTATGGGGTCTGGCTGAGCTGGAGCTCATTTTCTACACAGCAGCCCTCAGTGCTGAGCTTGCACTGGTACCTAGAAATTTTGGTGTTGGTACCACACCAGCGCGCAGGCTACTGCTGAGCAGCGTTGGCACAACATCAGTACTCTCTCTAAACATTCCCCCCCATCAATAGGCTGGGGGAGGGCACACAGCCTGGACAGCTGACCCAAACTGACCAGAGGGATGTTCCACACCATATGATGCCCATTCAGATATAAAAATTAAGAGAAGGTGGTGGTGGGGCAGGAGACCATTTGTTATTGTGATGTTTGTGTCTCAGAGCGGCTGCTGCACATGCTGAAGCCCTGCTTCCTGGAAAGTAACTGGATATTGCTTGCTAATGGAAAGGGAGAAAAAAATCTTCTGTTTTGCTTTGCTTCCATACATAGCTTACGCTTTATTAAACTGCTGTTATTTTGACATAAGTTTTTCCTCCATCTGATTTTCTCCCCCACCCTCACCCATCCTGCTGAGGAGGGGAAGGAGAGAGGCTTGGGGGGCACCTGGTGTGCTGCTAATCTGTGATATTCACCATCTTGGAAAACCTCCTCCTTATGTTGAATAGATCATATTTTATATCAAAGATCCAAAAACAAACTTAGTTATTTCTCTAATATTAAACTTCTCTCACCACCAGAGAACTAACAGCTAGACTTCCCCTGAAAAAAGGATACAGCAACAGGAAAGAGCACTGTAGGACTCAAACAGGTGGGTAGCGATATCCAATCTCTTCGAATCAACAGACTGCTGGTTGTTGACCAAGGCTAACTTGTGCAAGTGTGGAATAACAACTGGAAAAGTAAATACAGCAATAAGTATTTGAAACTGCTTTCCACAGACTTGTTTAGCATTAAACAGGTGCTATGTGGCAACTGCAGGCATTTGAAACTTCACACATCAGCATGGAATAAGAACTGCAAACAATTGCTTTTGATGTGATTGCCCTTGCACATTTAATGGATTGATTCAAACTTGAAATAAAAATCTGTGGTAGCACCACCTAAAATAAAAAAGTACCTTGGAGTACCTCTGAAATAATAACAGTTTACAGAAAAGAAAGAAAAACCCCATCAATGTAACCAGCATACCTATTAGCTTTTGGACAGAGAGAAGACTACATCTTCCCATGGATGCAACTTACATTCGTCTCTAAATCTGGGCTCGGCATTAGGTCCAACTCTTCCAAACGTTTTTATAATTTCTGTATGTAAAGAATGTTGGTCTTGATACTGAGGGTCCTCCAGGAAAGATGCCAGCTGCATTTTTACTCTCTCCAGAAGCTTAAATATTCCCAGAGAAATAGAAAGAACACAAAAGAATCAAGATGCTAGAAATTGTTATGAGCAGTTCAGAGTATGTTTACAGTTTTCTGTATTTCAGATGACAGATCTTGAACTTTCTTCTAATTTACAGATCTTTTCTAAGAGGATGTTTCAAACTCTTCAATGCACCTCTATGTTTTAAAGACTGTTACCAGGGTTTTAATCTGATCTCATTTTTTCATCTGTTTTTTAACAACACACAGGTGCTCCCATATACTTGATTTTTCCTCCTGAGATTTCCTTAAGTCTGATACTCCCTTAAGTCTGATACTTCCCTCTTACTTAATAACTAATAACTACAGAGTTTTCCTGTTTAATTAGAAACCAATTAATAGCATTTTTTGTAATGTATCTCAGTTAATAGGTTGAATTTTTTTTTGCAGAGGACAGAGATGCAAAAGTAACTATCATAAAATCAATGGAATTAAAAAGATTCCCTCAACTAAAGGCTAGAAAACCAAAAATGAGATAGGTATTTAATTTGGATTCAAATTTGAAAAAAGTAACATTTTATGATACATTTTGGAAGGTGCTATCACCTCTGTACTCTAAGGCTTATCATAACTAGTGCAATAGATACAGTAATTTCTGTGTGGTAACAAAACAATATTCTTCCCAACTGATTATAGGCATGCATTCCAAGCTGCAAAATTCTAACTTTTCCATCGTCCAAGTACGTGTGAGTCATCACTGACTTGACTCACATTACTCACATTTCCTCAAACACATTCTTTTAGAATATGTTGAAATTACGGGAAGAATGCAAGCTCTGCAAAAAGCTGCAAGGCCTTACAGAAGAAATTTGATTGCACAGCTGTTACATGAAACAAAATCCAGTTTTCTACTGTTTGCAGCAGAATCCTAACTGTCTTCAAAATTCTTATTTATTACCATAGTAGCATCATTTAAAAAATGATGAGGAATTGCATCTCTGCATTATCTTCAAGGAATACTTTGCTAATGTCATTATGTCTTTCAGTGCCATCTTGGACTAAATCAAGGGCTAAACAAGCAGATATGACTGGAAAAACAAAAGTCTTTTGCTCTTCTAAAGTATTTGGGAGCCCAGCAGGATACCCTAAAGCACCTAAAAAAATACAATATACAGAAGTACAATATGTGGATGTTTTTGGTCACTCTTTTAAAATAGAACTATTATTTTTTGGAAATAATGGAATTAGATTTCACAACTGTACTGGAGAAGGTTTTAAAGAAACATTTTGAGCATGGGATTTCCCATCTTCTAGCACACGCCTCCCCTCTACTTATCTGTCTCTGTTTGTTTATGTTTGGTTGAGATTTAGAAGGAAATGTTTTTATTAGTTACAAGGGTTGGTTTGTTTAGAGAGGAAAAAAAAAAGGCCATTGCAAAACCCAAAAGCACTTTGGAAGAGAATATGACAAAGAAAGAAAGAATTTATGACTTGCCCTTTCTTTTATTCTGTATTTATTAAAAAAAATCATCCTCTTCTTATGCTACAAAAACACAGGTGACAACAGGTGTCTTACCTCTCTCTGAGTAACAGTTTCCATGATGGTCCCAAAAGCAGGGATTGTAGCAATCCTTACTGAACTACAATGGAAGAATAGGATCTTTAAGATGTATTCAAAACTAAGAACAAAATTACTTAAATAAAAATTTTAAAATTAGTACTTTTAAGTTACATTAGTTTCTAGCAATGACAAAGGGGAAAAAAAAAAAAAAAGCAGACCAGGAAAAAGACAGGATTAACTCAAGGTCTCAGTCTGAAACTCACAATTCAGGATCACTGGACAAGGTAACAAGGGCCGGAGCAACCCGCTTGCCAACTAACGCTTCACTCATGCCTCGAAGAGCCAGCTGTAAACCAGTCAACATGCAATAAAAAATGCTTTGGTAAACGTGAACAACTGGGTTAGCTGTGACTGAGGATGGGCAGGCAGACTCTTGGGGTTGTTCTTGGTTTAGTCACCCACACAAGACATTAAAGCCACTAAGACTCTATTCATGCTGGAGCATCTGTTAGTAACAAGTTGTTAGTGAGATTAGCAAAGCATCCCTCCTTAGCTGGAAAGAAATACCACATCAGAATGTCCACAAAATGAAGTGCCACCATTGTATATCAGACATAAGATGCAGCCGAAACTACTTTGCATTTCATTAATGCAGGTGATACCTAATTTTGCAGTAGCAAAGCTGATAGCATTACAGAATAGTAGTATCCAGCTTTCTACCAGAAATGATGTAAGCAAATTTGAAAACTGAGAACATGATTAAATATAAACAAAAATTCAATTACATGGATTTAAGTTTTCTATTTTAAGTTTATTCAGCATTTTTATACAGTTTAATTCCAAGTGTTGCAGTAAACCTTTTTACTTAGAAAGAAATGATTTAAAGGTTACTTTCCTTTAAAAGGAATTTTTGTTCAGCTAGATTAAGAGACATAACTGATGGTTATTTCTTTCTAAGTATTAAGAGGGATGCTAGATATATAAGACAGTTAGGGAACTTACATTTCAGGGTCACTGGAGAGAGTAATGAGAGCAGGAACAACTCTCTGAGCTACCAGAGTTTCATGTACCCCCTTCACCAACAGCTGAATGGTCGGAGCAGGGGGGTATCACAGGTGATGCACGGAAAGAGCGAGCACAGTATCATGGGAAGAAGAACGGCAAAACCAAGAGAGAGAAAGAGAAAACACAAAAAGCAAACCAAAATTAGAAGCTAAGCAAATACTGCTACACTAGAGCTTCATAAATGCAAAGGCATGAAGAAAGCTAAAGTGGTCTGGCAATCAGGACAAACATGACGAATTCAACAATACAATGTTTTCTTTATTTTCAGATATTTTAAAACTTGAACTCAAACCATGTTTTATTTCAGATATGATTATAACTATAAATAAAGTTATGTATAATTAAGTACTAAAGTGATGTTAATTTGAATTTGACAATTTCATGTAAATGCTGTTCCTAGCTCTACACAACAATATTTATCATAGTAGGTGGCTGTCACATGCATCACAGAAGTCTTGACTAGGCTAAATGTGTGTAATTTCCCCGCACTGAGTGATACATCTCACACCTTGTACAACGAGACAAACAGCACCTTCCCAGATGCCAAAATGTTTTCCTGAAAATCATTCAGGAATGATATTTAACAACCGTCCAAACAGTATGAATGCTGGTCTGTGCAGGGAGAAAATGGAGAACCCTTGAACTAGAGCCATGAAATGTATTTCCTCAAGTCTTTTTGCAAACTAAGGAAGAGATGTATTTGTTGCAGTGCATCCCAAATGTTAAAAGCTTGAAATCACAGTAAAACTCATTATCCATGAACACAACAAAGTTGTTTGAATCCAGATGTTCCCAGGTGATATTTTTACATTACCTATGTAGTTATACACAAGCCTTTGCTGCATATGCCCTTTACATGCTTTCTTCATATGAAAACCTACTGATTTTCAAACCAAGTTGCAAATTTTTTTCACATTCAACAAAGTGGTGGGTTTTGTCTTAATTAATAAAAAGAGGAATGATTAGATATTTCCATTTTGTGTCTCATGTAAGGAAGTCTGCATGTATTTGCTGGTTTTAGGAGATGAATATAAAAATCTCATCTGTAAGTTTATATGAGAAATATGAAGTGTCTTTTTAATATTTAGCTACATTCTGATTACTCATATTGCATAATGAACACAAATTAAACTCTAAGCTATTCCCCTGAGAAAAGCAGTAGCTGTCAGTATATCAGTACCAAAACCAGACAGTATTCACATCTTCTAACTAAAGAAGATTTTACATTCTGCTATTTGTTAGAGCATTCCTGCTTTATCAACTCTGAATTTAAATCAAAGTAAGCTGAAAAATACTGGAAGGAACATGACTTTTCAAAAGCTTCTATATAAAGGAGTCACTCCTACTAAGCAACATTTATGTGTCATGTATGTGTGTGCATGCATGAGTGACACAGACATGGAACAGAGTGTGGCCTCACAGACAGTTACTGGAGAAGGAAGGACAGGGACAAGCTGTGTAAGAACACAAGACAGTATTGCTGCAAAGCACCTGGAGTAGCCAAGTTGCAACATCCTATACTTGTTATTCAGAAAGTATTAGGATGTCAGCTCAACTACAACATTTTAACATTAAAACATTTCACAATTATTTACATTGGCAACAACTCCAAGTGCCAATCTGTTGAGTTCATGGGCTACTCTTCAAAGAGCTGTTAAGGACACAGCTCATCGTTTGCTTATGATGGTTTTACTCTCATATATAGCTTTACTAATTTTCACATTTATTAAAATAGAGAATGCTTACAATTTTCAATCTTGGACAAACAGAGACTTGAGTTTTCTTTATGAACCTTCATTTAGAGAAAAGCCTAGCAGTTATACAGTGCTTTGAAAAAAAAAAAATCAAACACTTGGGATTTGTATAATTAGCAAATAATTTAGAATGATCTCAGCTTCATTCCTGTCTGGTCTGCCACATTTTTAAGTATGGTAAAGCATGGAGAACAGATGCATTCCATCATACAGAAAACAAAGCATGCTTTATAATACAAGTGTCATTCTGAAGATGTGTCCCTAGCCCTGAACCCAAACAGACCAGCAAAGAAAGCTGATTTATAAGTCAACTTAGACTTATTCACATCAAATCAGAGCAATCAAATCTGTTTGCATCAACATTCAAATGGGAAGCTGCTGACTAAAAACATTAATTCAGAAGCAACAGGAACAGCTGGGTGGCAAAGCCGTGTAGCAGCATTAAGGTTAGAGCGAGACAGACAATGTAAATTGTTATCTTTTTTTGATTCCTCTAGATAATTACTTATACATACTACAGCTTAAAATGGTAGCACAAAGCTTCCAGCCCCAAAGAAGCAAGGGAGTGGAAAGGCCCCACATCACTTCTGTGTCCTTCCAACCCTTAACAGGCTATAAAGGTTTGGTAAAGCAGTCAGGCCTGCAGTCTCTGTGCTGCTCAGAACCTTCACTGTTCTCAAACAGCTGTCCTGCAGGTCACATACTCTTCATCCTATTATCTAATCACTGGCCTTTGCCATTCAGCAGCCTCTGAGGTTACAGAAATTCCTCAAGTGATGGAATCTTCCAGCAGTGAAACCAGCTATTACTACCTCTTTGCACAGGTGACTTCCCAAATTTACATAATACCATGTATAAATATGTATGCCATGGCTATCCAGGAAACAGCAATATGCTACTATTTTCAAGTAAGAAAAGCATTTAAAAGAAAGCTGCCTAGGCTTTGGTAAAAATTGAAATATGCTAAGAAACAAGATATGAAATAGCATGCATAGACTGCCTAAAAATAATCAACATGCAGCTGAATTTGAAAAGAAGCTGCAACCAAAACATCAGCCTGTTGTAACTGAGCTAATTTGGCTAATATTTATTAGGGAAAAAGAGCTTATTATTACAAATAGGATATAAAAAGTGCTTTTGTGAGAGGGAAAATATGCAAATAGATTGTAACAGCATCCAAAAATTGCCATTTCCTTTTTAAAAGGAGGGGCAAAAAAAACCCAGCAAAAAAGGACACTGTTGGATGTTTTCAACTGAAGTCTCAGGATGGAGCTTGTTGTGGTTGTTTACTGCTGTCTCTGCTCTGACTTGCTGAGTGTCACTAAAGAAAGCTGATGGATATGTTAAGTGCTCTTTTTTTCTGAGGCAGACTTCAGATTTATTTTTGCAAATGGATACAAGATGTCAGGTTCAGCTAGAGGTCCCCTCCAAAGCTATACAAATGAGACATATATGGAAAAATGCCCAAAAAAAAGAGAAGGAAAAAGTAATGGTGATTAGAAATATGTGTTTCTAACATGCAAAGAACAGAAAGTTCTCTTTGTTCAGCCAATGGAATATGTCTCAGAATTTTGCATATGCCTTTTAAACTGAACATTTGATGAAACAAAGGCATGATGTGAAAATAAAAGCAAACTTACTAGGTATACATTTCAGTCTTTATTCTGACCAAAATTTATAGATATTAAGGGAAAAATTAAGCTGTCATTATGAGGCAAGTAAACTAACTGTAAATTCTTTTAACATTCTTTTATTTTCTACAAAAACTACAGAATTATATTTGTGTCTTCACCACCATATCTGGTACAAAGAAAACTAGTTTGAATTACAATGCAAGTGCATTGCATGAGCATACACAAGACCTACTGAAAATGTTAAGTTGTATATTAGACTACTGATGATGTGTTGAATAGCAAAAGCAGAAGTTAAAACTCAGAGATGCTTATATTTAACTACAGACCTATAGAAAGATGTGCTGCTGAACAGAGAACAGATACAGAAACAGCTGAACAACAACCTCCTGCTCCATCACACAGTACACAACCTTATTTAAGTTGTTTGCAATTATTAAGAATGTAGAAACATTGTCTGATTTGATCCCTGTTTTAAAAAATAAACTCTAGTTTTTAAAAAGTGAAAAACAGTTTGGACAACACTTACCTCAAACATTCGAGCAGCTGTACACCGAACAAGAGCAGAAGTATGGACAACTCCATACCACAAAACAGTTAATAGTAGCTCATGATAAGCTGGATTTGCACTAGAAGAAAAGTTGGGCAACTGATCAAAAAAAACCACTCCCAAGCCCTGGATGTGCTCTTTACCTAAAAAAATGCAGATTTCAACAAATCTAAAACTCCAGCATTTATCCTTTCTGAAGGATACAAAATACTTATCTCATTCTGAAAGACTTACACCATGTTGCAGTCTAGAAAATATATTCCTTTTACAAGTTAATTAAAAGAACCCAAGCTCAACTTCAAGAACATAATTTTCAATGAATTGTATTAAATGCAAATACATATCTAGAACAAATGACAATAGTATGGTAAATACAAAATTAATTTCCATTGTATTCTCAATGAGTTATTTTTGTGGAATTTTTTTGTTTGGATTTTGATGTTCTTCTTCTGCACTTCATTTTTTTTTAACTGCTACATTTTTAACCTAGAAATTACATTTTACAGCAGGGGAAAAAAAGCAAGTATACCCTTTATTCACCCAAAGCATCACATTTATTAAAAATTACAAAGCTTTTTATTAAAAGCTTCTAATGTATCTAGATGTAGTTAACCCCAAGGTATATTCTTTACCCTAGTTCCACAAAGGAAGCTTTCAGGCTATCAAGAGGAGCATGGGACAGTGAAAGCATGGTCATTACATCTTCTAGGAATCCAACTAACAGCTTGCGGTCTTCTTCCTGAAAGAAGGGAGGAAGGGAGTTGATCACACAGTGATCAATGTGCGGGAAGGATTGCTGAGGTTATGATGGCAACCTACAGCTGCAGAGGACACAAACTATGGAAAAGAACAAACGAGATTAAGCATTTAACAATTTTCTTAGGAATTTCAAAAATGTGTTTAAAGAGCCTTTCAAAGCAAACACACAAGATGGTGTTTCATCTACTAAGCACATATTCATGCATAAATTCTTTTCTTAAAGAAACTTCTAAGAACAGTACTTAAGCACGTTTATGACTACTGAAAGTTTATAAATCATAATCCACAAAAAATTTGTAAGATTATGAAGAATTTCTTTTTTTTCCTATAAGATATGTGTGTACTAGACCTTGGCTGCTCATTGCTGGAAGATTAGGTAAGATTTATAGTGTGCTTGTTTTAGTACTAGGTAACATGAAAATTTTAAGACTCCCACTAGGCTTCAAATGGCAATTTACCTGTTTCAGTACTTGTTTTGCACCATGATGTTTGTCAAGTTCACAGTTAAATGGCTGACAACCCATTTCATGAACAACATTAATAGAGTTTTGATAGAGGGGCATGGTAACACATGATCTAAATGTCCATCACCACCTGACTAGAAAACTTTGTAAATGTATTTACAGCTGCCCATTCATGTACCTCTCTTCAACACACAAGAACAGTAAGTTTTCGATGAACGCAGTAATGTTTAGGTATTTTTTTAAAATAAGTTTCACACACTACTATACAATAAAGAAACAGAAACCCAACCTACCTGAATATAACATGTAAGGACCCCTGTTGCATAGATGGGAACTGTGGCTTTTGTTAGCACTCCATTTCCTGCTGTGGAATCTAATGAAACACAGTGAAGAATTTTGGTTTTATACATACATATGAGTATAGAACATATATATTATCTATACTAGACTTACATATGTGTATTTAAGTATTATGGATTCAATCACCTTTTGATATATACACGAAGAATTTATATGCATATCTACAGAAACGTGCTTAAATAATACTCAAGAGGTATTTGGATTTGAGATTTTTTTTTTACCCTACACACAATCTACAACTTCAAAGTGTTCCATTCAGATTAAGACTAGATTTTTCAACATTTCACAAAGATAGCAAATTTGAGAATGGCAGCCTCACAATGTTATTTGAACAAAAGAATGAAAGTTTTTTCCTGTTGCAGTTAAGATCAATTTATTTCAGTAAAAAGCTACTTACCTATGTTTTCCTCAGACAGCCTTAAGATTTCCTGGAACTGTGGTTTTACCTATACAAAGGATGATTAATCTCATGTAAGAACTGGTCAATGGTAATTGACCTGTTACCAGTGTCAATTAACTTAGAAAAATAAAAAGAATTGCAAAACAAAGAAAAGAAGTCCCCCAAAACAAAACAACAACAATCCCCTCTCTGGGGATAGCACATACTGCTAAAAGAGTTTTATCTTTAGCTAATCCTCTCATGTTTGACAATTTCCCTTGAAGTATTTTTAAATTTTATTCAGAAGTTATTTTATTGAGAAAAATGATATAATTCCTTGATAAAAATGTCCTACAAAAAAAATTTTAGGCTGGGAAGGCATCAATTTCAAATTTTCAAATCAAGTAAAGCTGGAGTACTTATGTACACTGCAAAGAGTGAACAGTATGCTGCTCTGAAGAAAGTTGTTAAATAACCAGAATTAGGATGATCTCTCCTACTCTCTCTGTCATTCACAAAGGAAATATGAAGAATATAGTTTAAAAAAAAAATGTGTCCCTGGTTGGGCAAGACAGAAGGCAATTTAAAATTACCAAAACCAGAAAAGGACACAAAGACAGCTCTAAAAATAGCAGGTTTAAATGTACTTATGGAAAAGCATCAATGTGACATGAAAATATAAATGGTCACAAATTGTGAGTGTTCCAACATATGTTATCAAGTGTGTAGAATATTTAATGTAATATCTTACCTTAGTGTTTGTAAAAATTTTCCCAAATGTCCTACAAAGTCTCCAGAAAAATCTAGAGAATTCATGGACACAGGCAGTTGATGCTACATTGATCTTGCCAACTATTTCTATAAGCTGTGGTAGCCTAAAAATCAGGAAACAAAAGGATATTGAACACTACTCTGACTTTTTGCTTTTGTCCATTTACATTTGTGTAGATTTATTGCTTATATTAATAAATACATGCACACACAGAGCACTACTGGTTCTAATAAAGTTAGCTACATGTTCTGTGCAATTCCTGACCTGTGAAGAAAGCAAGAGTTTAAGTGCCAGAAAAGTCTGACCCATATTTTCAAACATCTGTTGCTATCACGAGATGGAATACAACAATCTTTACTCCACAAGAGAATTAACTATACTGATGCAAAAATAAAAGAAACAAGTTTTCAGAGCAAATAGTTACCTACATATTCTGCTAGACTCGATATTTTCTGAATAAAATCAAAGGCAATTCAGCATGAAAATTAAAATGCCTAAAGTAAATGAAAAGTTTTCCTCTTTGGTAATTCTCAAATGCAATCATTCATATATATCATTCAATCATTCTTATATTCAGTAATTGTTAAACACGACTGTGTATTGTATTTGCAGGGAAACGCCCTGACAAAGGCAGGAATAATGAATCTGACTCCTTGTTCTCAGAAGGCTAATTTATTACTTTATAATCCTATACTATATTAAAGAATATATACTGTACTAAAGAATACAGAAAGGATACCTACTGAATGCTAAAAAGATAATGAAAACTCATGACTCTTTCCAGAGTCTGGACACAGCTTAGCACCAATTGGCCAATGAGTCAAAACAACTCACACCGGAGACCAATGAAACAATCACCTGTGTATAAACAATCTCCAAACATTCCACACATAAGCACAACACAGGAGAAGCAAATGAGATAAGAATTGTTTTCCTTCTCTCTGAGGTTTCTCAGCTTCCTAGAAGAAAAATCCTGGGCGAAGCAATTTTTTCAGAGAATGTGAATGCCACAGACCATGCTTAAGAACTATTAATTTTGACACATTTTAAAATTAGGTATCCTAAGACACAAATTAACTCACAGCTGATTGACTACCCATAGCAGAGTCTCCCAGCCTGTGGTGCCCTCATGTTCCAGCTGATGATCATACAGCTGCAACAGCACTGCCAATTGTTCGCGGCTTCCAATGATGACGGCGACGTCCTGAAGAGGCGACACAGGTCGGGGAAACCTAGTGACTGTAACAGCAGAGAACAAGCACTCATGAATGAAAGATGATGAAGATACCACGGAGGTGATGTCAGAAACAACAGCTAAGAAACTGTGAAACTCATTAAGTGCCTTCTCTACAAGGTTTGCTTTATCAGTTTGCTTTTTAAAAATCAGTGAGTTAAAGTCATCTTTGAAGAGATTATGTAACCCTCAGTTAAAAAGAGAAAATACAGGGAGATTATGTTATTATTCTTGCCAGCACAGCTTGACCAAGGTCAAACTCTGCCTGACCAACCTGGTGGCCCTCTATGATGGATGACAGTATCTGTGAAGAGGGAAGAGCTACAGATGTCACCTATCTGGACTGCTGTAAGGCCTCTGACAGTCTCCCAAAACATCCTCTCCAAACTGGAGAAATACGAATTTGATGGATCAGCTTCTCAGTCAATGAGGAATTGACTGGATGTCCACACCTTGAGGACAGTGGTCAATGCCTTAATGTCCAGATGGACATCAGTGACAAGTTGTGCCTCTCAGGGGTCCATACTGGGACCAGTAGTGTTCACTCTCTTCACCAATGACGAAGGGATTGAGTGCACCTTTGGCAAGTTTGCAGATGACACTAAGCTAGTGGTGCAGTGACACACCGAAGGGACAGGATGCCATCCAGAGGGACCTGGACAAGCTTGAGAAATGGGCCCATAGGAATCTCATGAGGCTCAACAAGGCCAAGTACAAGGTGCTGCAAGCACCTCTGCTGGGTCAGGGCAATGCAGGCTGGGGGATAGGAAGGGACTGAGAGCTGACTTGGGGGTGCTGGTGAATGATAAAACTGGACATGACCCAGCAATACTTGCTCGCAGACCAGAAAACCAATACTATCCTGGGCTGCATCCAAAACAGCGTGCCAGCAGGATGAGGAAGGTGATTCTAGCCCTCTGCTTCTCTCTCATGAGACTCCACTTGGAGTGCTGCATCCAGCTCTGGGGTCACCAGCACAGGAAAGACATGGACCTACTAGAGCAAGTCTGAAGGAGGGCTACAAAAGTGTGAACAAAAAGATAGAGCACCTTTCCTATGCAGAAAGGCTGAAAGAGCTGTGCTTGCTCAGCCTGGAGAAGACTAGGCTGAAACCTGAAATTTTTGCATTTGTTATTTAAGTAGTAGCCACTCAGAAAAAGTGCTCATCTTCAAATTACTCAAGTCAGACAGATGAGCCTTACCATGGCATCCATTTTCAAAGGTGTATCAGACAGTAATGTACCACTAGCAACTATCCAAATTCTCCTTTGTTACCTTTCCTTTGCATCTTCACACACAGCACTATTATCAGCATGGTGGCAGGTGTTACCAATAACATATTTAAAGTATTTGCAACAGGAGAAAACACTCCACAGGGTAGGTTTGCTGATCTAAGGACAACTTCACCATGAGGCCGTTCAGTCATGGAATGGTTTGGGTTGGAAGGCACCCTAAAGATCACTTAGTTCCAACCCTACTACCATGGGCAGGGACACGTTCCACTAGACCAGCTTGCTCAAAGCTCCATCCAGCCTGGCCTGGAACACTTTCAGGGATGGGATGGTCTTCTAGGATATTACACAGATAGATAACAGATGGTGATGCTGCTGCATTATGCTGTGTTTTTCCCACTCCATAAATTTGTAAGAATTAACTGAATCTGAGGCCAGCCCTCCTGAGCTATTATTGGCTATTAATGGAAATCAGTTCTTTAGAAACCTTTAGAAAGTACAATTAAAAATTGCTTTGCTTTCTAAAAGCTTCTTCTAAGAAGTAGAGAAAAATCAATTAAAGCTTTTTTGTGATAATCAGGTATCTCAAGCATAGCAAGGGGTGAAAAAAGGAAGCATTACTTAAGAATTTACTAAGGCAGACCAATATAAAAACCCAGAAACTAATAATTTACCTTCTATTTGTGGTACTTCTCCCTGAAGTTTAGCCTTGCTTGTAAAAGGTGCGTTCTGTAGCACCAGTGCAAACAGAGAAGGAATCAAAGACTGCAGGGCAGACAGATACATGTGGAGCTTATGTTCATCCAAGCCATGTTCTCCTTCCTGAAACAAACAGGACATTAATTTGGAAGTTTTCAGTTTGGAAGATCTGTTCCCTAGGCATGTATTCCCTGGCAAGGCATCAACACATCTGTGATGAGCTTCTACCCAGACACACTAATTATAAAGCAATTTAGCCTAATCATAAGCATATTTTGCCACTCTTAGGTCACCTCTACTGAAAAGATTCAGGCAATATAACTTTTGGCATTTAACAGTTCATCCTGATGAACAGACTGATATTTTGAAAGAACATTTTCAGCACATTTTGGAAATGTGGATCCTTTGCCTCAGTGACCAAGGCATCTAAACTGAATAAACAAGTCACCTGTACTCTGAGAGCAAGCATCTTCTTTCAGTGTGTTAGATAGTTCTGAGGCCCACAATTTTTCCAGAACTTCTGAGTTATCTATCGAATGAAATGTGCAAACTGGATCATAACTGGAAACGACCTAACTTAACCATTCAAATCTACTTTTCTTGCTTATTTAATAAAAAATGCAGTTTACCAAAATCGACACAATTTAGACATGGAGCAATGCTATTAGGATATAAAACAGATCAGTATTAAAGAAGAGCATGTTTAGTTTGGGGGAGGTTTGGTGTTTTTCCTTGTTTTGTTTTTTTTTTCTTCTTCCAAAGTACAAGTGAAGAATACAAAGAAAATTCTCCAATGTAGAAACAGTTGAGTACATACCCTGAGCAATTTTTCAATTTTATTAAGCAGTGTAGGTATAAGATGGAACTGTAAATTTCCCAGTTCTGTTGTCCAGGCAGCATAAGCAGGTAAAAATACCTGATGTGTTGCACTAACCACACGTTCTGAAGGGTCTCCTAAAGCTGAAAGCAGCAGTTCAAAACCCTGGTAAAATACAGTAAAGAATGCAATTATTTTCCAAAAATTTATATACACATTTTTACCACTCTCCCTTCAAAAACTCAAAGAGAAAAGTTCTTTATTTTTACTTATGTGAAACATTATTGTTCAGCATTAAGCTGAACTACAAGTAGGCTTTGTTGTAGCAAACGAATCTGTATTATTAAGTGATGATGCCAAACTGGCTAATAATATCAGATGGGCAGTGAAGTGGTATGTTCTTAAAGGTAAATTATGAACTGTTAGAGCAGCTTCTATTTCAGGCTTACACCTGAAATTATATTTTTTTTAAGTATCTGGAAATATTTAAGAAAAATGCAAGAACTTAAACAATCACCTATTATTATACCACCTCTTTCATTATTTATGAAATATCTATAGAAAGCATTTTACACATACAGAACTCAAACCAAATGATGATACCTGTTGATATTTATCTGGATCATCAATATAGCCCATAATGATGCCAAGGCTTTTGATCACAGCTTCTCGTACCAGATCGGCCTTATCTTCCATTAGCATTTGTTGCAGCATGGAAAGTACTAATGAACTACGAATTTCTTTCTGTTTGTAAATGAGAAACACATTTGTTAATGCCAATGAAACAAGAAATGTGGATAATAAAAAGTTGCCACTTCTATTAGTGCTCACAAACAAAGTCCCTTCCTCCAACCATAAAATCCTTTATGAATATTACATGTTCAGTTTTCACAAGAGAAGATGAATGAATATAAAATGTCAGTAGCTTCAATAGAAAGGCTTTTGTCCTGCTAAGAACAGAACTAAGGTCCCTTCATTTGCATGGAACCAAAAATAACTAAGAGCAGTAAAACTACTATAGGCCTAGACTTTAAGTAATCACTGCATTGCTCAATTGGAGAAATTGGGTTTTAATTTAAGTTCCCTTCCCCCACTCTTTCTCTGAAGCTTGAAATTCTAGTTTATCACTGACATAATTTCACTGCTTCTTCTAACTGGCAGCACTCTTGATGTAACATTCCACAGTGTCTGAAGAATGCTATAGCTGGGTGCCAATTCCTTTTTCATAGATTGTTTCCTTAATTGGTCCTAACTATCTTTTCTTTACCTCATTTTTAGCGAAATGAATATTCATATTGTTTTTAGAAACATTTTACAGCTAGATTAACCTGTATTCGTAACAAACTATCTCCTTCTTCAAGTGACTTAATGAATCTCATGTGTGATATAAAGTAGAAGACAATGTGACTGTCTGTGCATAATATACACACTTGGTGATATTTAAAATGATAAAGAACGCTTACATTACACATCAGATTTTTACCCTGCTTTCCCTAGCAGGTATTTGGAGTCTATTACTTACTGGAAGGTAAGGTGCTAGAGCTCCACAGGATTCTGCTACCAGCAGCCGTCTCTCTGGGTATTTGTGGTTGATCTGGTAAAGAGAAACAGATGGACTGTTCGCTTTGCAGTAACCAGCAACTGCAGAGGGGTGCAGCTCACCCCTCAATCAATTAGCACTGATTGAGCTCACAGAAGTTGCACCTGGGTACTAAGCAGCCTCAAATTCTTGGACTGAGGCATAAAAGTGAGGCAGCTGTCCTATAAGACATAGCTTATAGTAGGGAAAGAGTCAGAGAAGCACATAGGTATGTGAGAAGCCATATAAGCAATAAAAAGGAAAGCAGTGTATGGGCTGCTGTACTCTAAAGAATCTGCATAACTCCTGAAGTGGCACTACAAGAAATATTTTGTCTTATGAAGACTTTCAGGAGCACTGTTCCTCCAAGAGCTGCACAAGTGCCCTCTAGTGCTCTGAGCCAAGCAGTGTAGCAGAGCTGCCCAGATCTTGCTGAGCAATCACAGTCAGAAGAAGATACCTGTAGAAGCCTAAACACATTTGCATTCTATTAAAGTTCTGCTCTCAAGTCCAGCATAAATATAGTCACACCTCTAAAAACAATTCATGTTACCAAAAACCTCTTGATCCTGTGATATTTCCCCTTTCTACTCAAAAGCTGCTTGAAAATTCTGCCTTACAAAATTAATATTTATTATTGACACTTCGGAATCAAGCGTGCATTCTGGTGGAGCCAGATTTAGTGGTTGTAATGGTTGTACAATGAAACAATGAAGTATTTCAATACTTTGTGAATAAAAGAGTCTGTGGTACCATGCTGAGAGTAAAATGTGAATTTTTTGATGCTGTCAGATAAAATAGGATATGCAGCATTTGATGCAATTGCTTCTTTCTTGCTGTGTAGTGTAGAGCCTTGGTGAGGCAGTCATCTAACCATGTAAAAAGACCAAAGTACTCACTGCCTTCTTTGTCTCTATCTTGAAAGACTTGTCTTCAGTAGTCTGAGGTCCCTAAAATCCCTGCCAAATTCTGGCACCAGGAGGACCTTTAGCAGAAACTAGCAGGCCAGGAAATATTGAAGAAATTTGACATACACTAGTCTGTGGGCCCTGATGGGGATGTACCCATGAGTGCTCAGGCTGATGTCATTCCAAGAACACTCTTGACAATTAAAATGTTGTGGCAATGGGGAAATTCCTGAGGAGTGGAAGAAAGCAAATGTCTCTGCTACCCTCAGGAAGGGCAAGACAGAAAACCCAGTCAAACACAGGGCAGTCTACCTCACACCAGCTCCTGGGAAGCTGTTGGAGCAATTGGCCTTACAAGGCATTTCCAAACATCAAAGGACGAGAATGTGGCTGGAAATAGCCAGGAAGTATTTACATAGAAAAAATGACACAACCAACCTGACAACTTTCTGAGATGACTGGCTCAGCACACTCAACAATGATGCCTGACTCTGACTGCTCTAGTATGAAATGACTGAGAACTCTCTCAAGAATCAAGTGTGGAAAAGATGATTTCAAAGAGACTTAAATTAACAAATTGTAAGCTTCAGGACTAAACTGAAGTCTCAAGCATGGGAATGTTCTTTGAGTGTGTCTATCATTACTTTGCATTCATTCATCAGTAGAGCACCCGCAATAATTTTTGGAAGTATGGAGATCTCATAGATGAAAAATATTATGGACAAGTAAGAGGCTGCTTTAAAACCTACTAGGCTGTGAAGGTGGTAAGGCACTGGAACAAGTTGCCCAGGGAAGCTGTGGATGCCCCATCCCAGGATTTTCAAGGCCAGGCTGGATGAGACTTGGAGCTAATGGCCTTTAAGGTCCCTTCCAAACCTTCTTTATTATTCTATAAAATCTTTTACTTATGTGCCATCTTTTCAAAAGCAAATTCCCCACTGACAGCATAGACACACATCATCTTGTGGAGCTCTGCCTACCTGAGGGAAACAGCAATGACTGGTTTCAGCTGTTTTTTATTGCCATTTTATTGTAGGGGTTCTATACTGTTGTCTCATCACAAGAGTTTCATACACTCTTGGTGTTTCTCATGGGCTGCTCCTCAGAGCACTAACATGTTCTTCTTCACAAAGGAGCCAAATGATTCCAGTTCCCTTCTCAACCAGCCACCCCACTCTTTTATAGCACTCTTCTTCTCACTGGTCACAGCTGTGGCCTGTTAAAGTCAGGCCTGTTCCTAATCTTTGATAATTGGCTCAGCTGCAACTCCTTAGAGGTAAGATTACTTTCTACACTATATTTTCTTATATTCTATCCCCCTACAGGTTTTAGGTAGTCTAGCATGGCAATACAAATATCACCCCTGATATTACAAACACATACTGGAGGAAAAAAGACTGAAATTTCTGTCAGGTTTGTGTTCAGAGAAGATGAGTAGCCCTTGGAAACTAAATGTAATTAAAATGTTTATTATTATTTATTTTCCTTTTGTCTTTAGTAATTTTGGAAGCCAATCACTGGTCACCAGTTTTGAGTGACCCTTTTAGCATTCACAGAGCCTTCAACTAAACTGAGTCAGTTACCCAATTTTACCTGCAAAGGAGCAGGTAGAGAGTTTAAAAAGACTAGCCTGATAACTGAGCTCCACAATGTATCAATGAAAAGGATGAACTTCCTGAGGGCCCAGACCTCTGCATCTGTAAACAGATTTTGGTTGGAGACCAAGAGCATGAATCCTTTTCATGATTTAGACATCTACTGCAAAAAGTAGAAAACTATGTTTATATTAAGTTCCTTCTACAAACTCAAGACTTGTGACCGTGAGATTCAGCTGGAGAAAATTTCAGCTGGAGAAAATAATGACCTGTTTCCAGTACTGCCAAACAAAGTCTGGCAAACTGCATTAAGTGCACTACGCCATATGACTTGGCAGTCTGAGATGCTCTTCTTGTACAGTTGGACTCGTTTCTCTTTTGCTTCAGCAATTAGCAAGAAGTGGATGAGAAAAATGTGCTTGCTCTTCCTGAGGTGAGATAGTTTTTTTCAATCACAGTTTAAATTTCATGAGGACTAAGAAAACAAAATGTTGCTTACAAAATTAGGCAAAAATACAGAATTCTTTCTACGGCTCTTTCAAACTACTACTGTCATGAGACCTTCACTTAATCAACAGATACATCAGTCATTCACAACAAGCACAAATGCTGCATATAATTTCTACTTCTACTGTCAGAAAGCATTAAGGTTATTAAAGCTTAGACTTTATTGGGAAACACAGATTGCTGTGTTATGCAAGGAACAGTAGGAAACTACCAGACCAGAAAGACTCTGCCATCAAAGCAGGCATTCCCACTCCGTCATGGCTTAGTTATTCATTGTCTTCTCAGGCAATGAGAACTCCCTTTCCTTCACTGTGGTAGGAAAATACAAAATATTTTCACCTGAACTCATGTTGTTCTGCTTCCATGCCTCAGATGAAAAAGTAAAAACATTTCTGTTTGGTTGTTCAGTTATTTCTATTAATTTGGAGTATCTATCACTGTGATTCTACAAGAGATGTAAACTTCAGGCTCATCTCATCTATGAGAGACTTGCTTATGAGTACTTTGGTCTTTGATTTTCTCTTTAAGAATTTAAACTAGTTGGTGTGGCCACTGCTCCAGGGACTTAATACAACATTAAAAAAAAATCAGCAAATAAAATCTTTGAATGAAAATGGATTTCCAACAGGCTGGAATGCAGAGCAAAAATTATAAAAGTACCTACCTAGCAATATGTTACACAACACTGATGAAGAACATGTGCTTATCTACACTTCAATATAACAAGCTTATTCAGGTACAAGCAGGTAACTAAAATCTCTCCAGACAGTCTTTAATAAGCTTTCTGCTTCTGAGGTGCTTTTAATATTAAATAAAAATATATATGATGAGAACAAAGAACATGCAAATATCTTGCTGAAAACCAAAGCCAAACCCTCTCCCTTGAACAAGTAAAACTCAAATTTATGAACTTCTAACTGATTTTGGAGCATAAAGCAAACAATAATCAGTTACCTGCTCCCAACACTGTGGTAAAAGTTCAGCTTCTACACGTGTTGGTCCAACATGTCGGGCAAATGCCACACACCCAGTCAGTATCATCTGTCTGAAAAGATAAATGTAAAGCTTTAACCTGTTTATAAAGTTTTATAATATATAACATATATTCCTTAAGTCAGGAAAAGCACATGCTGACAGGCAATAGGTAGTTGTCTGCAGTCAAGATTTCACACCATCCACACTGACTTATAGACTAAATATTAAATTGAAAGCTGCTAATATCCCCGTTCATTGCAGGGTGGGGATTTGCTTACATAACCTTCAAACATCCCTTCCAACCCAAACTATTCTATGATTTTTACCTTGTTTTATACTCAGAATGGCTTTTCCAAAATCTTGCAGATCCTCAACTCCATAAACTAGTCTGAGAATCTCTGATTTGGGTATTTCTGATTTTCTAAAGTCTGAGATTGGGACTATCTAACTAAATTTCTCATTTAATTCTTAGTACTGAATACTGTCATGCAGTAAAAGGATCTAAATTACCTAATACTATCATACTATCAGTATTTCAGTGAAGCAAATTGATTTTATTTAGAAGCATTTGTGAGATTTAATGAACTTTCTTCCGAGCAAGCAGCTTATTTCTTTTATGACATAGTTTTGCAACCTTTTGACATGCAAGTTACTGTCATCTCACAAAATACTGAACTTCACTCTTGTGAGAAATCTTCTAAAGCCCACTAAAAAAAGGAAAGCAAGTAATCAACCAGTAGGATCTATGATCACCTGTTATTTGTGTTCATATTCTTATACTTTTTTACCTTTCATTAAAGTTTGCAAGAGATTGCCATTGTTCCATCAATTTTATAGGCACAGAGGTATATATAAAATTTCAGTAAGACTGTACTAAATTGTCATTTGTGGTATTTTATTTAATGACTGTCTATCTTCCTAAGATGTTTTTACTTCTATTTTTCCTGTTGATAGGATTGGAATAGTACCAACTTTGAATGCAATTCACCAATTCTATTTACCTTTAGAGGCTACATGAATTATTAAATACCCAGTTTCAAATGATAATGTGTGGACATGAGACTCAATTTTATCACTTCCTCAGTAATACTGGGACACCACTCAGAGTTTATTATTACTCCTCTGTGAAATGTAAGCCAGAATTGTTACCATTTTAGTGTCATGTCTAGACTCCTAAATATTTTCTGTACCAATAGCATCCCCTTAAGGTTGAAAGGCAGAGATTCTGCTGGTTATCTTCTAACCCCTTAGAAAACATACCCCATCAAAAAAAGACTCATTCACTTTAAGAATTTTTCAGGAGAAAGATCCTATCAAAAAGTTGGGGTTTTTTATCCCAGCATTCTTTATGCCAACAATCAGAGCAAGCTCTTATGTGTTGTGTGCGTTTGGGTTTTTTACCTCTCTGCCACACTGACAGAACTAGGCCTTTGATTAAGGTAAAAAGTAAGGAGAAAACAAAAATTATTAGGTAAGACTCAAGAAATCAACAGCTGATAGCAATATGGAGACAAAAGCCTGTGGTAATTCTCAGTTCTACTGCAAACAAAATAGTCATTTGAATTACTGTTTTTGGTTCTGTACACTGCACCTAATCACAGAAATGGGTAAGAGAATATATATTTTTAAGACATTAGAAAATAGCAGAACACAGTAATCACTTGAAGTTTTCGGCATTATAAATGGGATAAAACAAAATATTTTTTCTTACATCGAATCTTTTTTTTAAAGTTCCATGAAATCTCAAAATTAAGCCAGATTTCTTTCTGCCCTACCTACCAAGATGAGAATTTGAAGATATTTCAAAAATATTTAAAAATAAGATTTTAAATATTTTATTGCAACCATTTTAACAGCATATAACAGTCAGCATTTCAGGGAAAGGAAAGTTGTAAGGATCTGAATAAAAGGCGATTGAAACAATGTTTTAATCTTGTCCTATTAGAGTCAAACATTAGACTCACTTCATTATGACTCCTAGCCTCCAAAACTAACATAATTGTACAAAAAGGAGGTTATGTGAACACATTTTTGCTCCTTTGCAGAAGAGAATTTGATACACATTTTTAAAAGTTGAATGGAACATTAATGAGCAAAGCCATGATGATACAAGTGGCCTTGTCAAATAAAATGTTAGTGTACAAGAGTACAGAAATATGCCAAACACCAAAATGCATCTCACATGGGCAAGAAGTATAATCCAGGCTTTCTGCATAATCGTTAACATACTTCAGATACTGGACATTGTAAAACAAAATATTTCTTTTAATGGGTTAATTCTTAGAAATGCAATGTCACATTTCAGTCTCTCGCATTTAGCAAATTAAAAATGTCAACTAATCAGCTGCCACATCAAGGGACAATGTAGTAGGCCTGTACAGTACAGCAGAAGGCAAACAAGTAACGAGATAATTAACATCATCGTTCTGGTGATTAAACCTGAATGTCTTTCCTCACTTCATATTGCACAAGACTTCTAACATATTATTTCAATGTATTTAGATAAAAACAAAGCATGCATAATACACTTCCATAGAAATCTATAAATATAACCCCCCTTAAATTCTGAAAAAGTATATTCTATTTAATTACTATTCAGAATATCTTTTATTCATGGAATCTCAATTGGTTTTCCATCAGATTATGGCACCTTCAAAAGCAATTGTTATTTCTATGTGTGCAAATGTATAGTATGTATATGCATGCTTTGTCCTAGAGTTTATGGCAGACTATTTTTCCCAGATTTCTCATGGAAACAAGTTATTATTATATATAAATCTCTAATTCTGAACAAAAATGGAACAAATTCAAGGAAAAAAGATTTTTCTTCTTTCTTAACTGCTGGAATAGACACACCTCATGCACCTATGGGGGATATGAGAAGTCTACTTGATAGGCCACCAATCCTGTAACAAATTAATCACAAGAGACTCCAAGTGACATGCAATTTCCTTCCCCTTCAACCACAAATTATTTTAGCTTCTCAATCTACTGGGACATTTAAAACACTTCAGAAGCAGATTTCTAATGACTCTGAAGTAGAACCAAGACTGCATCTTTTTGTAATTTCAATCTACATGGTGCCACTATGCTACAAGTTGCTTTTGTTTAAGCTTTTTTTTTTTGTCTCCAAAGCCATGGCTTTCAAATATACCTAATCTCTAGATTTTACCATGAGAATGGTTTAAAAAGATGCCTCAACACTTCAGTTTTGGAGAGTCGCCAAAAGAAATGCTTTCCACCTATTTGATAAAGCCTATTTTGTCTGAAGACAGCCTAGAGCAACAAAGGATACAGATGCTTTCCAAAACACCTCTAACAAAAACAATGGAAGAGCTACAGATCGAACATGAAAAGTCGTTCCACAGTTAAGAGAAGGAAACATACCAGCTTGAGTACTGTCTTTCAACCTTAAGGATATTTTCATCAAGATCAGTATAAAGTTTTCCTGTGCACTAGGGAAGAATTAAATTTATAGAACAAAAGGTGTAATTTGTTTCGGAAGCTTAACCAAAATGAAACAACGTCCTTAACACTTGTCAGACCTAGATCACTGCTACACTCTTCTGACTTTTTTACTGCCACCATATTAATGAGCCATAGGTAGAAAGAGCACTATTTTCCCTAAAGAAATATGGTGGTCATCTGAACAAACATGTAGATCACTAACACAGATTTTAAAAGAAAAGCTGTTTTGATTTCTACATCAACCAGTGCTAAGAATTATGATGTTAAAGATCATTTTAGCAAAACAGCAAAAAAAGTAGCAAAAAATTCATCTTTGAACAGAAAAAGGAACTGAAATTACACTCTATCTTACAAGCACACTCTTATAATTCAGTAAATGGAAGTACAGATCATGGAAATGAAAACTCCTGAACTTGGCATAAATTTGTCAACACTATATAAGCAAAACACCAGCTAAACAAAACCTGTTTAATACCACCCAATAATATCCAATTTTTACAAGTTCTGCTGCTTGCACAGAGAAAAAAGTTCCTGCTTGTCCCATATCACACAAGCACCAACACACCTTTGCTCATCGTCTGGTCGTTTGATCAAATTGAACAGTATGTGCAGAAGCTGATCTCTCTCTTTGGGTTCAGGATGGAGGCAGGCTGTACACAGTATGAGTGGGATCAATTCCTAAAAAGTTGTGGGTAGGGGAAAACCAAACAAAGTAAAATTGCTTTGGGCATACATTCATTTACTGCACAAGAAACTAAGAAGATAATCTAAAATCACATAACATCAAAACAGTTAGAAAAGATACTTTGGAGTCCTGATGTCTTATTAAGTGACTTGAGGGAAGTGAAGGTCTACACAAGTTAGAATTATTTTCCTGCTAGGAAAAATCAGGGGAGAATCAGCACATAAAATGAAAAGCTCTGCAAAGATTACAATTAACATATGCAGGTCACCTGTAACCAGAATTAGAGGACAATCATGGTTTCAACTGTTTTCACTACCTACTGAACTGAAGCTCCACAGACAACTATGGACTAAAGCTCCTATGAAAAAATGCCAAGGAGTTAAAGATTAAAATTTCAAATTAAACACCCACATGGTTTTGTGCACAAGTTGGAAAAAATAAACATTGAGAAACATACATTGGTAATGGTGACTGCAGACAGATTTTGTGTTGACTGACAATTATCTGATTTTTGTAAAGGTTCTATGATTTTTTTTTTTCCATACAAAAGTGGTCTCTGAAGCTGAATTTTCTTTTTGGAGTAATTAAAACCCCTTAAAAGAATAAATTACAAAGAAAATACTGTGTAAAACATGGAGAGAAAATAGAAGGATCTTCATAGTGAAGGCCTCCTCCTTTCTAAATATGCCTACAGAGCTCATGGTATTCATTCCCAGAAGAACCAAATGTTTCTAAAACATTGTCTGGAAGTCCCTTCCCTTGACCTTGTTGATGTGAGCTTTTACTCCAACTGATTTTGAAAGCCAGACAGTTTTTAAATGATTCAATATCTTAGAGACAGAAACATCACACTGGGAGGTCAAGAAAAAAAGAAGAAAAAACCTCAGTGTCTGGAAAAAAACATGGGCAAGTAATCTGGAGATTACCTTGCACGCTTGCTGTGTACTTAGGAGTAATTTTCAGCAGAAAGACGTTTTGTGAATTATTAAGTTGAGACAAATAAGCAGGTGACAGTGGGAAACACATCTAACATTAGTAGGAGAAATTATACAAAACCTGGAAAAACCCGTGGTTGTTTAGAATGACTGCAGGGAGGTGCTAATTTCTTCTTGCAGATATTCAAAGAGATCTAATCATGATGTTCTTGTGGACCTGTGGAAACACCACTGACAACATCCTCACTGCTCAACCTGTATTTTCCTAAACAGCCTGAGCTCTATTTATATTAAACATAGAACAAGACTCCATTTTAGAGCAGTGCCTAAGCTAGCCAACTCCTGACAAGCTTTCTTTGTTGGTTTTTTTTTTTCATTTTACAGGAATTCTACTCCATGTGCTATTTTCCATCTCCAAAGATGACCAAGACACAGCCTGAACTGTGTTTTAACATTCTGCGACTCTGGAAGATACACTGGCAATATTCAACTCAATTATGATACAGATTAGAGAATTTATGACAGAGGAGACAACATGGAAATATCCTATCACTTAAAAAAATCTAAAAGGAGAGAAGGAGAAATGAAAAATAAATTTGAATACTTTGAACATTTCCAGTTCTTAAATACATTTTTAAGAGTAACTGGGGTTGTTTTTAAATAAGTGTAGCACAACACAGCATGAACTGAAGACCTGCATTAAAGGAACTTGACAAATTAAATTGCATGAACAACTAAATAACTTTCTTCAGCTGAGAGCTTCTTTCCCTCTAGAATCTTCATGTTAGATCTCATTATTTTTACTTGAAATTTTTGCCCATTTAAAGTTATGAGAAGTCTGAGGATTTAACTTATTTAACTTATCTTTTTGGACTGCATAGAATTTTCTCTCCTGCAAATGCTGCGTTACTTCAAAAAGACTTGAAAGAATATTTCTAAAATAATATCCACCTCAACACCACTCTAAATAACACTACTTATACATTAAACTAACATCTTTTAAATAGGAAATCTGATCGCAATTTGTAGATACAGAACAAAATTACTACTATAAAGACTAAAGCTCACTTAAAAACTTAAAGCTAAATATACATCTGTTACTTTAGTGAAACCTAACTTTCTGAAATCTACTCTAAATTCACATTATTCAACTGCTCTTGGAAGTATTCTTAAATACTCCTATGAAAAACTTGACAAAGAATATCCTCCATGAAATGGGACATTAATGGGATTTTTGTTTCATCTACTGAAACCAACACATTGATTTCACTGCCTTAGCATGTTTGAGTACCTACTCAAAAACCTCAACTGCTTATTCAGAACTACTGCTAGATTTTAAAGCAGTACCATGAGGTGGGGTATTTTTAAGCTTCTTACAGAATTTAAGGAAGTTAACATGGTCTTTTTTCAGCTGAGTCTACGTGAAAGGAAAACACCTGAGAATATTCACCTAGAAACTACTGCCTTGTGTCTGAAAGGTAATGAGTAACCTAACAGCATTGACATGGGCAGATACAAGGCTGGTTCTTTACCTTGCAGCAAGCTGGTTATTCTAGCTGATGGAATTAGCTGTATTTTCTCGTCCATTGGTCACATTCTCTCATGCATACTATGGGAGAAGAGAGTGTTCTCTGCATCGCTGCATCAGGGCTTCTACAGCTCCTTCTATTAACGGGAGTGGAGAAACAGTGAGAAGTCTCAAACAGTGTTTTCTGTGCTCCCTAAAGCCCTCAGGGACATGAAGGTAAAACTGGAAGTAAAGGGGACTGTGGGACCAGAAGAACTAAACTGCTCTCCAGAGGGATCAAACAGGTCAAGTGAAGTCTCCCAAAGACTTATAAGGGGCAGATTCTTCTCAGGACATTCAGGAGCATTAAGAAAAAAAAACGACCTACTGGTAGGTTTGAGTTCATTTCTTCCTGGTGCTAAGGGTCATGCCTTTGCTGTAGATTTGTTTTACAAATCTCAGATTTTTCGTTCTTTAAACCAGCAGAGAAGCAATACGAAGCAGCAATTTTCCAATAAAACATGGTAAGATTAGTATTTGGCTGTTTAGATTCAAGAGAAAAGTTCACAACATGGTATTGGAGACTCTATATATTTATTAATAATCAAGGAGTGGACTTCCAGTGCTATTTGAAACACTCTGCATTCCTTGGGAAGGAATACCACTTGTGCTGACAGTCATAAAGCAAGAAGTTAAGTTTCAAAAAAACCCAACAACTCTCCCTCTATTTAATTTGGGAACTTTCCTAAACATTCTGTTCATCCCCAAGTCCTTGTTTTCTCTTTTGCCTTTGAGTTCAGAACATGAGTTTTGGTAGTTTGTGTTGGTGTTAGTCAACAGGAGTGACTAGTGACTCATGACCATAGCAAGAAGAGTGACTTCCAGAGCTTTGATACTGTTTTCCCATTAGATTCCAAGCAGACTCATATCGTAACATTGTTGGCACTTGCAGCTTGATGCAATATAACATTATGTGTCACAGGTTCCACCTCTCCTATTGAAAAGCCAAATTCCAATGTGAGGCAGTTTATACCTGTGAGCTACCCAGATGCAGAATGGAGAGAAAGAAGATATTTTGGTTTTACTGTGAGAGAAGCTACATACAGGTGACTGACAGATAATGCTCTCAGGCTGACCTAACACACTGCACAGGAGAATTGAAACAGCCCATCTTCCCTCTGCTCTGCTTCTCTGTAACTCTCCATGTAGGTCTCTCTAAAGAAAAACTCACATTTTTCTCACCATAGTATCTCTGGACAATTTCTTCCTAACTTACAACAACTTGTTCTACTACCTTTGAAAGGGATTTACTATTTGAGTTATCAATAAAGGCAACATTTACATGGACATACAGAGTAGCTCGCTCTTCATTACAGACAAAAGAACATGGATTTTTTAATGGTAATAAGTACCATCTAAACGACATGCCTACAGTTCCTCCTACATATTAAAAGTATTACAATAAAATATTAAATTTTGGGTTTTTTAAAAGTGCATCATATAGTGAGCATCTCAGAAGGTAGCAAGGAGTTTTCTGTCAGTTTTGTTTCCATTATTATAACAATGTTTTGCTAAACATTCCAACAAGTCTTCTACATCTTATTGCTCTCACTAATTACTGTCTTCTTGCTGGAGTTTGTATAAGCAAAATAATTACCTCAAAGAATAAATTTAACTAGTGTTAAGTGTCAAGACTGGTTACTTCAATAGGTTCAAATAATAATATTTTTATTACTCCAAATATTAATGTATTAATATTGCAGGCAACAATATATAAACCAGGATGACATGATCAATTTTGTTAATGTCTGCCTTTTAATCTTCTTTAATGGTCAATGCTTACATCGTGACCCAATACTGTGCTAAAATTATTCTGTAACTAAAATTATTCTGTAGCCTCTGACAACAAGTAAATAAAATTAAATAATCTTATTGTCTGCAACTGAAATAGCTGCAGGTACCAACAAAGAACTGATAGGAACTGTCTTGGGCAAGAATGTATTTAAAGTTCCAAATTTATTCTTTTAATTTAAAATGAAAAAAAAAATTAATCATAGGATTAACTCATGACCCAAAGCTTTGTACTACTAATCTTACCAATATTAAAATCACAGCTCTAATTACCTTTCATGGGGTGAGACTATTATTCCAGGATCCAAAGTAAGCCTCTCAGAGATGCCAAAGGGATGTTTTTACATAAGAATCAATGGTAGGGTGTGGGTGTGAAAAAACTTTATACTTCTTTGTCTGTATTTACTGTTTATTTGAAAACACACATACAAAAGTTTGTGATACAACAAAAGCTGGCAATTCAATTCATAAACATCAAATTCAACTCCTCACATCCATGAACTATCTAAGCTTTACAGGCCATGTTTTGAAAGACATTGGCTTTCAGACTAGAGATGAAAAGGATATTCTATGAGACTGAGCTATTTTACTCTAAGGAAACTGCACTAGGCCCTCATATTGAGCAGAAGGGAACTAAAGGACTTAAAATATAGTTATGTCTCATGTACACCCTCATCCCCTGAACAAAACAGCCCTGCAAGTCAAAACCAGCATGGAAAAGGACCAGCAAGAAAAGGACCACATAAAAGGACCAGCAAACAGGCTGTAGTCAATAGTACCCCTGTTTTTAGAAACATAACCTATAGAAATCTACTGCAATCTACATTTTACAGAGTAACATAGTATTGTAATTGTTAATTTAGATTTCTTTATTCTCCCCTATAATGGGAAATTAAAATGGTCATGTAGGAGATATTGACAACTGACAATTTTCATGCTCTGCAACTCAGGTTTATGTACCTTTATCCATATCCAGCCATGATGAAATCTGCTAGATACAACCCCTGGAAGCAAACAATTAAGTATACTGCCAAGATCTGACACAGTCTTCTTTTGCATTGCTTTAGCAAAACCAGTATTTAATGGCTTTTAAAGCATAAGACTGAGATGAAAATTCATAGTAAGATACTCAACTCTACTGTGTTTTAAGAGACATGCCAGAGAATTAAAGTGCCTTGGTGATATTTACGTGCAGTTACCACACATTAATGTGATTACTGTCAATCTACAGTGGAGATCTAGTGGAGTTGAGAATGGCATCAATTCAGAGTCTGAAGATTTAATATAATCTTTGCTTCAACTTTACAAACAAATAAAAACAAAACTCTATTCTTAACATGTTGAACTCTCTATAAATAACAGTTTGTCAGTATAACTATTTAGTGGTGCATATTCAGTAGACCACTGCTATCATGATTGTGCTAAGTCTGCATAACACAAAAGAAGTTAAAGACTAACACTGGAATAATGGGTGAGATTAAAGATGTAAATAATTAAATAAAAGTGCTGATTAAGAACAAGACTAATAAGATCTTAAGCAAAAAGTTTACTCTGGGCCAAACTCCATTAAAGGATTATATACTGCAGAGTATGGAAGTTGTATGTACAAACAAGGTTACTCTTGTTTCCTGACAAAAACCCATTGACTTTAACAGCTTAAAAAGTGTGAAAAATGAGTATTGCACTGATTAGTTATTACAAAAATTTTAAAAGACTGCTTCTCTCTAGTTGCATTTTACCCAAAGGAATTTTTCTATGGTACATCTGTTAACAAATAGAAGATGGCTGATTTTACTTTTGCATTTTTTTTATTGTTGAGAAAGCAGATTACAATGTAGATCAATTTTTATGAACCCAAGGTGCTTATCTTCAAAAAGTATTATCACAGACTGCACCCCAAACAATGGCCTTTTTTTTTTTTAAGTATTGGCTTTTAGCATTTTGTTACTGGTCATTCCACTTAACTGTTACTTGGATTGCAACATCTCCTTTATTTGTGACTGCATTCATACACAAATCTAAATATTGACATAGATGTTTTCAGGGAGTTAAGATAACCTAGACGTTAGAGATGAAAACAAAATTAAATTTACTTGTTGTTACATGAATTTTGATGATTATGAATTGCTTTGAGGCAATTTTCCTGTATGATGCATTACTGATTTTACACAGTTGGAACTGCTTTTTTTAGAAACAATTGAAATTATTCCCTCAGCCACCCTACTCAATACTGTCTTTCCTTCTTGTTACCTTCCATTGGAACCTAAACTACAGACACTGAAGAACAATTAAAGCTGCACCAATACACAAAAATAAATAATTTCAGAAATGTCAACTATAATATTTGCCAGAACACTTACTACTGGATGAGGCAGACTGCTACTGATCTTTATATGCTCAAAAGCATGGGAAAAATGGTTTCTGAATCTCTGCTAAAGGACAACAACTACTGAGAGACCGTCAGCCTCTGCAAACTCAGTTTCTCCAAAATGAAGATGCATAGCATATAATTTTCAGCTTAAGATTTTGCAAGCAATTTCAACATGACAGATGCTTAAAGAACAAAGACATTTCAGGGAGTCATCAAAAAATTATGCTTAACTCTCATCCTAATATATTGATAGTGTAAGATCTTAAATACTACCATTCTTCTTGTTTCAGAACAGACTGGTGAGAACTTTGCATTGTGATCTGAACCTGTTACACCTCTTTCTCAAATTAGTGATTTTGAGGTATATTTTTACACCACTTCTCTGTGCAAAAGTCTCATTATAAGGTTCTTTATGGACAAGACTCAAAGTTATACCTTGCTGAAGACAGCCTAGTTCTTAGGATAGCTTTCCATAATTTGATTAGTGTAAATACTGACAGATGGTCTACCCAACTTTTCCTTCAAGTTCCATGACTACATCAGAAAGAACATTAAAAACAGTTATAGCAAAAGGTGGCAGGGAACTAAAAGAAGATATTTTTAAAAGAAATTTCAATTACTGAAATATTAAACATCCCATGTAATGAAATTACTCAATTGTGATCTGTGGCTTTTTCAATTAAACTGAAGCAGATAATTTAGGGCAAAAATACATGTAATCAAATATAACTTTCACTGTAAAACAACCTAGGAAGGAACCAAGTAGGAAACAGAAGAAAAAGTTACAAAAATATTCAATACATTACACAGATTAAGCAAAAAGCTGTGAAAAGGAGCCAAAATACCACATCCTGCCAAGCAGAAGGAAGGAAAGGAATAAAGAAGAAATCAGAAATTAAGCACTGATCCAGGAACATTCACAGAATTATTGTGAAAGACAGAAGAATTTCCAGAGTACCCAGTTAACACCCCACTCCCTCAAAAATAAAGCCTTATATGACGTTTCAAACCATAGCACATATCTCAAGTTCACCATGTCAGCTGCTGATAATTACTTGTATGGTATAAAAATTTTAGATTACAGGATCAGTACGAATTTCTTGAGGAATTTTCAAAGCCTTAAAATTAATTTACACAAAACACATGACTAAGTCTACCATACTGTAGGTCCTGTCAACAAGGACTAAAACTTGCTCAACAAGATATGCTACTTCAAACCCTTTATTTCAGTGTCAACTATAAGGACACTGAATTTTTGTTTTATATGTCTTCAGTTTATGGGGGTTTTTTTTACATATATGGTAATGTGCAATATTTACACAAAGCAAAACAAAGCCAGTCACATTTTTTTCCTTCCTTTTGTATGCTATATAGCATGAATGATTATGCAAACCATCACCTTCAGTTACATTCAAAATACACATTACATGTTCATAATTTTTAGTCATTCTCATTTTAAAGTTTAGGAAAACATATAAGCAAGATTGCTCATTTCCTTACAAAGGGATATTTTTGATGAACCTTTACTTGGCTGATACATGGAGCTTCCAAGAAAAGACATTAAAATAATTTGTTTGTTGAAAATTATTTTTGTTGAAGTATGTAGTGCTGCAAAAGAACCTGAATATTATTGCTTATTTAAATTGATAGACAAAATAAATGAAACAATGTTTGAACTCATAGCCCCTGTTTTTACAAAGCACATTGATATGGTCTTCCCTAACAGAAACTGTGCTACCACAAACAGATGGACCTACAGTAACAGTCTTGCTGAAGGCTAATGGGTGCCTTAAGCAGAGGAAGGAATATTAGGATACCATGCAGGTTTGCTGAACTCACCTGACAGAGGTGTAAAACCATTTTCTAGGAGCAGAGATGCATGCACAAAAGTAAGAACATGATTGCAAGTAATAGACTTTCATGAAATTAGACACAACATCTTCAAAATTAACAACAAAATAGTGTGATGAAAAAGAGTAAAATTTCAGGGTTCCTCACCTCTCGCTTTGCAAGCAGCACATTAGGAACAATATGAGGCAGGCAGCGTCCCAGCATTAACATGACACTTTTCTCACTGTCTGCAATTCGAGATACCTAGAAAATCAAGTTGCTTGTTTGCTTTTTTTAGAACAGGAACAGAAAAATGCCATTTGAAAGGAATAACAAAAATTGCAGCAGGCTGACCACTTACCAGAAAAGTATTTAATTTATTCCCATACATTAAGCTGTAAGTTTTTGATGTGTCAGTAATTTCAAAAGCATGAGTAGAGGCTCAAAGTTCCCAGTAATTACACCTCTATCACTAGGTTTCATATTTAGCATAAAATCTAAGAACATATATTTATTTCTTAACTTTCATGCACATAGATTCATCTTTCCATGTCTCGTTTCAAAGCAATTATTGCTTGTTTAACTATTGCTGCCATGCAAAATGAAGAATCTTTTAGTTTATGTCAACTGAAATATACCTCTGATCCCAAACGGCTGTCTGCTGACATCCGACAGAAAGACAGTAGTGCTTGATGGAAAGCTGGTGACAATTTCCTGAAATATCATCAAAAAGGGAGAGGGGGAAGAAAGCATAATCAGAAAGGTGATAAAGCAAGTCCTTTCACGCTGGTTTAATCAGCTAGGTAATATGACACCCAGAAAGCACGTTTAAGTGATTCATACTACAGAAGTTTTAAAATTATCTTTGACTTTTAGAGTGTTTTGTTTGTAGCAAGAAAAAAACGTGAGTGTCCTAAGAAGTTAGGACACATTAAGAAGTCAGATTTAGTTCCAAAAAATATAACATCTTTCAAATGGCTGCTACATTCAAAAATAGGACTAAATCATGAAGAAAAGGAAGCTTAGGCAATACAAGAGGAAGCATACAATTATGCAAACGGGGTGGGGCGGGCACAGAAATCACATGAAACAATATTTTTGCTTAATGCTCTGATTCTGCAAATTGCATAAAAGCATTTGAGTAGTCAGTCAAGTTAGGAGCTTCAGAGTTAAATAGAGTTTGCTCAACTGCCACTTTGGGATCTAACTTCGGATTCAAAAGCTGCCAGAGCCTCAAAATCAATCTTAAACTGGTGTCTAAGCCCTTGTACAGGGTGCATCTGCACAGGCACTGCCTCATGGCCACATCCAGCACCAGCCAATGCAGCCAAGCTACTCAAAGCCTTAAGCATCCATATCAAACCCTGGTAAAAGCTTCAAAACAGCCATGTCTGAAGAAGGTAATTTGGCAGAAATGTTCTCAGAAAACAATTACTGACCACTACATCAAACAGGCAAGCAGCAGCACCCTATTATTCCCAGTAATGACAACTTCCTCTGCCTTATCTCAGGCCTTAGATGCTAATCTAACACTGCTCCATCCACTATGTTTAAAGAAGAAATACAACATTTGTCTTCCAAAATATGCACAGAAAGCATCTCACCCATTTCCATCATCTGCTGTTTGAGTCCTCTAATGATACTGAGAGGAGGCAACTCCTATTTTTTATGTGGAAATTGGTAACACCTTGGAACCCTCAAAAATACACACGAGTGCACAAAATCCAACACACAAACGATTACGTGCATGGACATACATTTTATCTAATAGATTGACACATAATACTTCTTACAGTAAATACATAATCATTCACCCTTTTCCAACTGAAAAAGCCCATTAAGAATCAAAGCTCTTACTTACAATTACTTAAACTAATTCAAAAGGACATCAATAAATATACCAGTTTTCCTCTTCTCACTATTTAGAAAATTATGATAAATAAGAATTTTTATTTATTGCCTAATTTTTTTAACAGTATGGAGTTTTGAAGTACATTTTAAATTTTAATGAAGGAAGCTTGTTTTAATCCTATTTGGCTTGGTTTTGTGCAAGGTTCACTTTAAAAAAGTTACTAAACTACTTAAACAGTAGCAAGTTGTAAAAGACCTCTTTCACAATATGTTAGTCCTTATGCTGTAAAATATTCTTGAGTGACAGATTTACAGACTCTACTCAAGACTGTAGAGTTTTTTTTACACTGGGAGAACATTAGCAAGCACTGCAAAGCAGCAGCTTAACATTAACACAGAGGCAAGGCCTTGGCCAGCCCTTTGCCCAGTCTGTCCTTCAACCTGGCATTCATTCTACAGAAAATCAGATCCTTTCCCACTTGGAATCCTAATTAAAATCCTACATAAGGGCAAAGTTCCATTCCCACTTTGCAGAGAATGAAAAGTAAGTATGACAATATGTCACTGAATTACCCTGTGGGTTAAATAACAGCAAGCTCTGGGCAGCATGGATCCTCTTACAATTGCTGGTTATACTTGGAGTCCAGAAAGCTTCTCCTTAATGAAGTCTAACAAAATCCTTGATGGCTACACTGAACAAAAACAATAAAAGACCAAGGCCTCTTGCACACAAGTCAGCGGCAAGTCTCTTCAAGGGCAAACAGATGCCAGCAGTGAAGACATCTGAATACAAGAAAGTACAATGAATAAAAAGCCCAGGCACTGCTGTTCTATTCTATATAACTCTGGGACAGAAGAGTCAATTCATTCAAAAAGCCAGGACTGCTGTATACAGAAAACACCTTGTATTTGGTGCAAATTACCACACACCTCAAATTAGTTGAATAAACACATGTGGTGCAGTCTATCTAAACCACTGCTAGTGCTTTGCACTGCCATCTGTTAACTGAGGCATTTTTCCAATGATGGTCATGTCCTCATTTGCCAGCATGCACGCACAGCTGCTCTGAGTGCAGGCACACAAGGCAGGCTCACTTCCCCTTCTCTCTTCCCATCTGGGCAAGATTTATGCCAAGAAAACACTCTATAGATACAGTAGTAATGATCTTGCCTTCTAGGATAGTCTTAGCTGTTAACCCTTCTTAGTACATTCTGAATAAATGATAGTAATTGTCTTCTATAAATAAATGTGGATTGAAATCAATAAATATCCAGCATTTCCATTGTGTTACTTCTCCTGCAGATCTCAAAACATTTAACAAATCATCTAATTATTCAGTGAGAAAAATTACTGCATTATTACAAACCTAGGGCATAATCCAGGAAGAAAATTTAGCACTAGATACTGGTCTATAAAACACTGTATCAAACATGCTTTCCTTTGACCCTTTGCTGACATATTAAGCCCAAAGCAGAGTACAAAAATAGCTACATATTACACATGCATTATTTATTTCTGCAGTGAACTGCATTTGAGGGGACTTGTCAATTTAACTCAACGGGGATTCACGGCTTCATTGAACTACTTTTCAAATAAATCTAGGTGCAGTTAAAACAACTGTGAGCAGCAGAACAAATGCTGTTCGTCTAGTCTCTACCATCATAAATTCCACTGGAAATACACAGCTCATTCCTCACCCAGTGATTTAATCCTGTTTTGATATACACCCTCACTATCCCCAAACCATCAATCTAATATTCATGCACTTAATGCCACCCAGCACTCACCATTAATCTGAGCAAGAAGAAACTTGCAACAAGCCAAATGAAAGTAGGTAGACATGTATATAGCAACAGCTTGAAGTTTTGATTACTACACATATTTGTAGTATGTAGTGTACTACACATATCTGGATTTTTAGCTAGGATATGAAAGAAATTTAAAAAAGAAAAAAATCCGGAAAGCTTAAACCAAACCACTGACCACTTTCCAGAAAAATCTAAGCTGTTCTACTTTCCTATTAAACACTAGTATAGTCAACTAAGAGAGAATACATTTGATATGTGACTCCAAAGAATTATATTCAGAAATCTTTTCTTCTGTCCAATTCTAAAAGTTAAGATATTACTGAAAAAGTAGCCCCGACCCTTGAACTTAGTGCAAGAAGTACAGAAAATCCAGAAAAAGCAGGATTCTTAGTGTTTGTAAGAAAAGGTAATTACTAGCAGGATTAGCAACTTCTTTTTTTCTGGTGTTCCTTTTCTCCAGCCTACTACAAGCTTGCATTTATTTTTCCATCTGCACAGAAAGTCACACAGATTTCTACTTGGTATTTTCAGATGGAAAGATAATTCTAGAAACAAATTACAGTATCAAAACCAGCAAAAGCTTGCTAAGGGACAAAAGACAAAGCAGGATGGCTGCCTGCTTCCCTACAAACAGCAACAGTAAGATCATAAGGTGAGCTACTTGCTTATCTTTGTCTGCAGTGGTAACAATTACAAGTTGTACATACCCTCATTATGTTTGTTGTCCGTGTTACTCCTGATGACTACAGTGGTTTATCTATCACTTAATGAACAAATCACTTCTCCTTTTCACTATAAAAATACTTGTACAGGTTGAAAGGGCTTTTTCAAGAACACTTATAAGCACAAACTCAGTCTCCAAGTAATAACACAACATGAATTCCCTAACTTGGTTAAAAGAATCACGGCTACCCAGTGAAGGCTTGCCCCAAAATCAAAACTCAAAAAAGCAGTATGTCATTAGATACCTTTCTGGTAATTACAAAATAAGTAAATGAAAAATAATTCTGCTCTCTAGGAGAGTTATACACATCTACAGAGAAAAAGCAAAAAAAAAATTCCCAACTCTTCAAGCAGAAGAGAATTATTGAATTAAAAGAGAACAGAACTCTCTTGTCTTCCCATTCACTATTCTGATTTTACCTATTTTTTTGTTCCAAAAAATAGGGCTGTGTTTAAAAACAAGCAGAAAGTGAAAAGAATTTCTGCAACTTAATACTAAAATCGTAGGTTTGTCATATGTACTCCTTCCTGAAGAGATTAGGAACAATATAAAAATATCAGCACTGTACCCTAGAGGTATGTTAAGTCTTTTATTTGCCTTCAAAACATAAATGATCTATTCATTTGGCAGAATTTCACTGTTAGAAAAATATCTACTTACTTTACAAGAATTTTTAATAGTATCATGCAGTTTACAACTTATCACTAACCTATTAGGTTTATCAAAGTGGACTGCAGCTTTAGATGATGGAGGACATGAGGACAGTTTTTCTGTCTCTTTAGACGGCACAGAATTTAGCATATCATCTTTAGAAGTCCTTGAATCCACTTCAGCTGATAAAGCAAGGCTTGTTTCCTCAATGTTTCCATGTTTACTGTCATTCTCAGAGCTCTTGATATCCAAGTACCGTCCATTGTCCTCTGAGACTGTGAGAGGCACTTGTTTTAAAGAAGGATGGGGAGCTACACCATAAACAGTTGACACAGAAAAGTTTTCATTCTTGAGAAGATCTATTTCACTGAAAAAGCAAAATATGAAATATTTTTGTAGCTTTCATGCAAATGCTGTTCAAATCACACCACTGCAGCACAGAAATAAAGACAACATGCTGAAGAGCTCAACACATTCTTCAATTCATGTATGTTTAAGAATTCCTATAACAAATAACTTTGATCACACAAACTGTTCAAATAAGCACTAGCTTCATTGAGCACCTTAGTAAAGAATTAGTAACAGCAAAAATGTTGCACACTGAGTGAGTGAATCAATGAAACAAGTGAGTAGCAACAGTTTTATCTCCTTCTGGCTGAAATCTGAGCACTGAGACACAAATTGTTACAAGACAGAACACTACCTAGGATGCAAAACATAAAATACTAGAGTGGTGAATTAATATGTACTATCCTATCTGGCTTTGAAATGGTAACTATGCAAGTCAATAAAGACACTTAAAATTTAAGCACTTTCCCACAAGCTGCATCAATACACCTCTTAAGAGGAATGATATCTTATGGCTTACAGAATGATATGGTTGCTCAAAACTTGTAAGTATCTTTTTTTTTTTTTGCTGTGTTTAAAGATACTGTCATGTCTACTAGTCTTGCTCTTCAGAAAGAAATACTGTGTTGATGTCAGATGTAAAAACAAGCGTCTTTCTGACAGTGCTTGCAAGCTGTCACACTAAGGAGTGACATAAAGCTAATTGAAAAAAAACCTATGTAAAACAGATCAGAAGTGATGGTTTTTAAAGGAATAAAGAAGTCACACTGAAAGAACAAAATTGGTTACAAAATTAAATTGTATATGTAACACAGGGAAATAGCCAGTTTGAAGGCTCTTCCTTTTTCTAAATCAAATAATATGTACTGAAAAGGAAAGACCACCCTGCCCTGAAGAATCCCCAGTAATTTCCTATATCTAAGTCATGGTTCCATATATGTGTTAGAAAGACATTGAAAAGTTATCTAACATTTATCAAGAGTCAAGTAGGTTGATAAGAACATACCTTTCAAGTCTTTGGATTTGTTCCATCAAAGACCATTTCTCACTGTTTAACACACTAATTTGATCTTCTAATTTTTGCACTATTAAACATTGCTAAACACAAGACAGAAACAGAAGAGTTTAGTACAATAAAGTTAAGCAGCACATCAAACAGCTGCAACATTTCTCCTGTACAGTCTTACTTCTATTGACTGTGGTGCTGTTTCAAACACAGGGACGGTCCCGAGTATAGGAGTGTCAGCCTCTAACTCATCATCTTCTACACCAACTGATGCGTCCACCACATCTCTTGCAGCAACATGATGGTTTCCAAAGTCACGGTACAGTTGTAACAGGTCAGGAGGTTTTGGAATATTCAATCCTACATCATCCCAAAGTTCAAAATCCTTCAAAAGAATAGAAGAAACTAAAGCATACAATATACTTCCTTTTATTTTCTTTTCTCTTCCTCATTTGACCACAGGTGATGCAATAGCAAAATAATCACACCAAGACTGCATTGTAGTAAATCAGATTGAAGAATAACTCAGCAAGAAACAATAGTAGAGGAAGGATTCACTTTGTGAACCAAAGCAGTTTGACCATAAAGGCAGCTCTAGGTAACATACTAGAGAGAGTACCTTTCCAACCACATAGGTCACTTTCTCTTTTGCTAAGACATGAACACTTTTTATAATCAGAAAAAATATTGCTCAAATTCTACCAGAAGCCAATGCAGTTGATACAAGGCAGAAATATTGGTTTTGTTCCCATTTCACTCACAAGTGCAGGTCTAATTGCCCTAGGGAAGACAAGCACAGTATCACAGAATCATGTAGGCTGGACAAGACCTCTGAGATCAAGTCCAACCTTTGACTGATCATCATCATGTGAACAAGACCAGAGCACTACGTGCAACATCCAGTAATTTCTTGAACACCTCCAGGGACAGTGACTCTACCACCTCTCTGGGCAGTCCATTCCAACCTTTAACATCTCCATGAAGAATTTCCTTCTGATATCTAATATAGCTTAAACAGCTCTGTAGAAGACTGATAGTGAGGTGCAGGCAACACAAGGGCCTCCTGTCTCAAACAGGTTCTTCCTTTTCTCATTTACATCTTATCGTCCTATTAACACAAGAATATTTCATGTCTGTAGATACAAGTAAGTTTATACAAGTAAGTTTGTGCACTGTTACACAGGAGTTGTGATGGTCTCTTTAACGACTTTAAATTTAAGTATTGGTTTAAACTTTTTTCCTATTGTTCCCAGTCTTCACTATTATTTTTTCCATAGTCTGGTCACATACATTTCTTTGAAGAAATATTATTTTCGCAAATAATTATATGAATAACATAGAAAAAAATGTGTCTATTATACAGTAATTTCAGTATGTTTATTTTTACTTTTTAGAATTAATAATTTTGCTCTTTTTTGCTAATTGTCTCACAAAACAAAAACTTCTCAGTTGAGAGCACAAATAGGATAGACTGTTCATCTTCTCTTTTTGGGGGTCTGTATTCTCACAAGTATTTGGATGTGCAAATATTCAGTGGAGGTGGAAGATTCAGAAATTCTATTTAACAACCTATTTGCTCCACAGATTAGGATATGAAATGTAGGAAAAGTTTAGGAGGACCAGTTTCACGTAAAACTGGATGAAATTCCATATTTAATTCTTCTGGTAATATCCCCATTTTGTGATCAATACATATTGGGTGTTGATATTACTGGGTGCTTTGTCTACCCAGAAACAGTCAGAATGCAATTAGAACCTTCCAAACATTCTTGCCATCAAATGTAAGCCAACAGAGATATAAAACTGCTCATTTTAAGAAAAATGCATCAAAGCATAGCTATGTTGGGAAAGAGCCAGAATAACACCTTATTACCAAGAGCTTATTCAATACTGTACTCAATGCCACAGGTGATTAAGTACTCTCACAGACACACACACACACATCCCTAGAAGACAACCAATGAGTAAATTGTATATCCCTGTACAAGTCAACTGAGTAGGACCTAAGGAAAAGATTACATTTGAGATCCAGATCCTTGACTTCAAGTGAATGTGTGTCACACCAGAATACAAGGAAAACATCTAACTCACACTATTTCACTTCTTCTTTAGCTTCCTTTAAAGAATGCAAGCGCTCTGTCTCCTTCCTACAAATATTGGGAAACTACTGCTCAAACTGCTGTGTTTTCAAACCATGGTTTATATATGAAAATGCTAACTAACATATTTAACTTTTAGAGAACTCGTATATATGAAGCAAACTGCATGCACAGGAAAAATCACTTAAGTTCACTTGAGTTTATGACAAGATCAGAATATGGAAAGCAGGCGTGTAAAAAACCTCAAACCCACAAGGAAATTTTACCTGATCATGATTTTCATCTGAAAATGTTATTGATGTAAGCTTGTAACTATTCTTCAATAAAAATTCATTAACTAGGAAGTTTAGAGCTCTTTTCTCAAGAGGTCTGATTGGCTCCTGGAAAAAAAAAGAAAACACACTAGATCTTTGGTTTATCTTTCTTCCAACTATGGAAGCTTCTTATATTCACACTAAAATCCATGCAAAGTTCATTTATCACCAGCCACCTACCTGAATTTCAGGACTTGATTTATAATTTTTTCGTTCCTGCAAAGGAACTTCATTTTCTGGGGAGGAAAAAAGAAGTAACTAAATTTTACTCTCTCAGAGAGGATGAGCTCAGCTACTTCTACATTGTTTAAAGTAGAGACTTAAGAAAAGGTTTATGTACACCACCTGCAGCCTGAGTCAGGTTGGCTCGAAGGGCCTGTATGGTCTCCTTGGCTTTCCGTAGTTCAAACTCCAGGACTGGACAGGGATTTGGATTAAACACACACAGGCATCCAACCAAGGCAAGGGAAACAAAAATAAAATATAAAAAGCAAGGATGGGTGTGAAAAAAAAGATACCGTTTGTATTAAACATAAAGCATGCAATCTTTATGGAACTTATGAACACATGCAGCAGAGTTGGTCTGAAAGCAAACTGGTGAACATTTTCCATAGTTTCACTGGCTTTAGCTTAGCTAAGTCAAAATTTCAAGCTGTCTGACAAGGACTCGCTGTAAGGTTTTGGGAAAATATTTAGGAGCTGATGCTGTCAAATGTTTTGCTTTTTTGGGGGAGCAAGAGGAGTATGTAGGCAGTAAGAACACAGATCTAAATGAAACGAGTATGTTGTGGCAGCAGAGGAAGCTGTCTCCATGTAGCAAAGCTTAAACCATGAAGTGAATGTAAAGTCCCATTGACACCCCAGACTTCATTTGGGAAATAAAACCATACACCAAAATTTTAGTAGTTTAAATGGGAGATCTTGAAATGTACTTTATCTTGCAAAAAAAAAAAAAAAAAAAAAAAAAAAAAAAAGTAATTTTAAATTCTATTTCAAAATAGTGGAGTTTTAGGAATGTCCCACAGTTGATTAGGATTTTGAATTCAGGCCACTGAATTCAAATGAACAGAGATATACAAGAACAAAAACACCCAAAAAATGCAGCTCTTCTGCAGTACTTATAAAAAAGCTTGAAAGGAAAAAAGTCTTGGCACCATTATTCTTGAAAGTTTACGCTGATTTTCAAAGCCTGAGAGTCAGCTTTAAATTCAAAAAAACTTAATTCTAGTTCTCCACTCTCTCTTAATTCACCTCTCCACTTCCCTAGTCACTCGTAGTTGTTTCTCATGTTCCAATGTTTCCTCCAAAAAGGGCCAGTGGTGATTTGTGTGCACTGGGATTTCATATGTTTTGATGCTGAGGTCATATGTACATAGTGACCTCAAATTCTCATCCCCTGGACCTTTGCAAAAGATATAGCAAATGTTCTTTTAATAGCCATTTACAGGTAGAACATCTAAGGAAACCTATTTAAGAGATGACCAGATAAATACATGCATTTCACTAATTCTCAGATTATCTAATCACACTGAAATATACAGTTACCAGGAGGAAGGACTCTTAACTAGGAGAGATAAGCACAGAACACCTACCACGCTGAAGTGTTAGATGACCTATTTAGAATAGTTTACTATCTACTTTATTCCCAAACAAAAGGAAAAATTTTGTAGTGACTTTTAACAAGAAAGTTTCAATGAAATCTTTAATCACTGCCTGGAAACAATTTAACATGGCATTTTGAAATATTTACACAGAACACAATGCACAGCAGAAACGCTGCATTGGCCCTTGCTGGTAAAAAATGTTACTGAAGGCTGCAAATAAAACCAGTTCCTCTTTTGAGCATCTGTAATTAAGACTCTTGTTAATTGGCACTCATGGAAAAAAGATTCACTCAGTTTGCAGTTCTGCATAAAAACTGAAGGAGTTACTACAATACACAACATTTGCTACATGAAAGTAACTTGTTTGATGCACAGAATTTTACTGCAGCAATATAAAAGCGCAACTGAGGATACAATGAATAAAATATGTAAGATCTCTCTAGTATTCAGCAATGCTGATCTGCAAATACTTCTGTGCAACAAAGTCAGAAAACGCTCTCATGATAAAGTAAGTACCTAATTTTAGCTAATTTACTTCCTTGCATTTGAGATACTTATTCACAGTTGTAAGATACTAATTTGTTAATTTTGAAAATTTTAAAGAACTCAAATTAAGAAATTTTTCTTATGGAAATAACTATGTGTTAACATTTTAATCTTGTAAAATATTTTCGAAGACCAGAACAGTTGCAGATCAGGAGTGCCCTGAACTAGAATGATATAAATAATAAAAAAAGTTAGAAAAACAATGCAAACTATAAAAACTCAGGAATCCAATTAAGGAAAATAGGAATAAGACATGTCTGAAGGCGTAGAAAGCCAAAAAACTAATGTCAGACAAACCCATGTCAGACGGCAAGAATTGAATTTTAGTGAACTGTGACGATGCTGACAATTCTTAGAAATCTTTAGGACTTTACCCATTCAACCTTAAAAGTAGATTACTCTGCTGCATGTTTCTGTTATAGTAGAAGATTCTAGATGTAGTATATTTGAGAAGCTGTCACTTGGTAGCATGTCAAAACAGCCACATAATCCCACCACAACACAGCATTGTTACAGTTGTACCTCATCTAATCTTACTAATGGCACCATGATAATTGCCATCATACAAACCTTGATGCTTTCAAGTCAGTCACAAATGTAGCTTTTATTTGAAGAAGTTTATAGGTGTTTATACAATTATACATGAAAACAGCTATAACATTAACTTCAGTCAAATGTTAAACTGTGATTAAAAGCTCTTTAAGTTATACTGAAATGTGATCTTCTGCCAAAACATATAATGATTTTTAATTCAACATATCTACCAATGAAATCAACATTAGTAATTCCCATTTGTTGATTCTATAGCATTCTCTTACATAAAAGGCAACCTTTTAACCCCTTTATTTGTAACCATTATGAACTATTGACTTTTAATACAAACGACCTGATGCCTCTCCCCCTCTCCTGTTACAAAGCTGAAGCTATGCCTTCAGAAGCATTGACAAAGCCAAGCTGAAGTTCAGCTTCATGCTTGACTAGGCTAATAACACATACAACTCCCAGCACCTGGTGAAGGGGCTGACACTCCTTAAGAATAATGCACAAAAGTTTTGCTGCAGACAGCCTAAGAAAGGAAAGAATCAGATATCCCTTTGCACCAGGAAAGCAAAGAATAGAAATTTAGAGCCTTAAGGTTGGGTAATCTTCCTACAGGAAAGGGCATTTCTGAACAATTTAGTTTGCCTTAGGGGAGAAAATTATCTAAAGTTCAATGACTCTTTTAATAAAAAGTGATGGCTTTTAAATGGCTTTTTTGTTATTAAAAGTTTCTAATCACTACAGCTACTATCCTGAAAAACATTACAAAGCCTGACTTAAAATGGGTGAATCTTTCAAGCAAGCCATGATGCATTGGACCAAGGTTTTCAGATCAGCAATTTTTAAATGTTTCAGTTTTCATGCAGCTAATCTAATACACCTTAAAAGAGAAGTGCATATCAGGAGTGAGTAGCTTGTCTGCTGAGGTTTGAAATCTCAAAATTAAGCTTTCTCAAGGGTCTTATTCTATTGACTCATATTTGTTAATGACTTCATAAGTTATTGGATCATACCAAGAACCACCTGCAATTGAGATTGGACTAGCTGAGATCTACATGAACAGCAGTCTTGTAGAACCAAGGCCAAAAAGTTGAGGAAATAAACAGTACTTCTAAAATCATCCATCATTTGTGTTGTGTAAGCAGTACTATTTCCAGTTACACTAGAATTTTATCATCTACATTTAGAACACCTTGTCAGATTTTTGCATATTTCACTGTGAAGTACCCAGTACTTCAGATAATGGTAGAAGGCTAGCTTTGTGTTGTGAAGCCACTATATGGCATCTGGACATTTTCTTTTAAAAATAGTTTTCCTCTGAAGTATCAAGGGCCCCTTTGCTTACCCAGCTTTCCGCACTTTCGTACTCTTACAAGCTCTGTTGTTGATGATGGAAGCAAAAAGACAGCCTTGAAATGTGAAACACTTCAGCACAAAACACAAATAGCCCCAAAACAGAAAGCTATACTTCAGCACAAGATATTACTACCACAGTACAAAAATAAAGACCAGGAGGAAGATTCATGAGCAAGTAACAGAGAACTTGTCACTCTAATAGTGGGAGGCCAACACTTGACTCAGTAGCCTCATTAATGCTTTGAAGTTAATGAGACAGGACCACCTACAGAGAAGACCTGAACTACAGCAGACTTGTCTTCAGCTTCAGCCCCTGGAGACCTTCTGTAAGAACAACCTTCAACCTGGAAGGAAATTTAAGAGGCTTACAACTCCTTCACAGGCTTAAGACAGGCAATGGGAAGACAAAACCAGATCTGCTGTCAGGATGAACAAAGCACACACACCATGTTAACAAGTGATTGTTGTACTACAGATGCCTTTTGTGCTCTGTTTTTTTGTTTGATTTTTTAAAAGATTTCCCTCTGATTTTGGTGTGCACAATTTAATAGTGCCTACTAAAAAACCACAAAAAAAGGCTCTGTAAAGAGCAGAAACTGTGAACCTGAGTCTAGATATATTAAATTCTCAAGAAGAAATGTTTTTTGAACTGCTCCCCTCCTTTCAAATCTTATTCTTCTAATCAGAGACACACAGACTAGCTAGAAATAAATGCAAATACAGGGAAATCTGAGAATACATATGATTGAAATGGAGTTTGATTATAAGAATTAATTTTATCATCTTTGAAAGCGCAGCATGTGCTTTTAAAATTATTAAATTCTCAAAAATTATTAGATTCTCATCTTTTGAGTTGATGTCAAAGGTAGGTTAGCAATAATAAACATTTTGAATTATGCAAAGTAGGGGGTTTAGACCATGGCAAATTTAAGATGTGGCAGAAGATTCAGTTCCTTAGACTGAATGTGAGGCAACCTATTTTAAACAAATCCTATGGGTATTCAAGTTATGTGTACCCTTATAACACAGGAAAGGAGCAGGTTTTCCATTCTCTAGCTGCTTTCTGGAAATTATGAGTATTTGGAGGAGGTCTACTACCCCTATCAAATCCTTCAGCACTGAGGTCTATCCTAGGAGCAAGTATTTCAGGCACTTAATACATGACTTTGGATTCAAAAGCTACCAGTCTTAGAGAACAAGTTGTTTCCATCTAGTAAACTGCAAGCTGTAAGGATGCATTTTGGTTTGTTTCATCTCTTAGTGGATTACAAATGTATTATCCAAATTGTTACATAACTCTCATTTTCATTAAGATCAGGTAGATAAAGAAGAAAATTTATGTTTTCTAAATTGCAGTTAGTTTTGTCATACTTTTCCACATCCTGACTGGCTTCTATGACTTGCATCTTTTCAGTCAAGCAGGTGATAATATTATAGAAGGGACTCAGATTCCTTCCAGCAGATTCGCCAAGTGAAAAGCTCTTTTCAGCAACTCTTCAAAACATGCTTGCTTCTAGGCCAAATTTTAATTCTAATTCCAGAGGGAATGAAGTGGGCTAATAGCTTTTAAGTACTGAAATCAATTTCAAGCAAGAGTTGATACAGTTATTTCCAGGAATTTTTGAACTGTTAAAACAAAACAAAACAAAAAAAAAAAGGCAGCTAAATCTACCACTATTCATAATGGGCAAACGGAATATGGTGGCTTTGGATAATGATGTATGCATACATTTTTTGATTTGGGGCTTTCTAATATAGTCAAGATACAAAAGTATTTGTAAAGTGGGTATGTTATAACTCAGTTTTCTAGTCCTTCTGACTCAGAACCAGTTCAGCAGTTTCATTTAGTGACTTATGTACATTTATGTCCTATCTTGCCTTTGATATGATAGAGAACTGATATGGAAATCATGTGTTCTGTCCAAACAGTAAAAAGCAAAGATAGGAGCATGAGAAAGGCATTTACAAAGAGAAACGATTCAAACCTCATCTTCAGAACTATCAGAAGAAAAAGATGACTATTAGCTCATGGCCCCAAGCTTTCACAACAGATTACAATTTTAATCTCCTAAGCATCAAAGCTCTTAACAGAAAAGAAACAATTTTAGAAGAAATAAGCAAGATGGACTTCCAGTTAGGTTTCAGAGTGCATTTGCAGCTAAGAACAACTTCAAAAGCAGAAGTTATAAGCCAGAGTTTGTTTAAAGAAGGAACTGGATTTGCAAAATTTTTGAAACCTCTGTTGACATAATTTCTTAATGTACCAAATAAATACTTATCAGTTTTTGAAATTGCTTGGGAAACTAGCTTTAAACATGATTGAGGCAAAATATTTTAAGCAATTATGACTGAACCAGAATTTTAAGTACAAGCAAAATATTTTTGAAAACTTCTAGTCTTTAAAAACATCCAGAAATAATATTCAATCTTACTTCATTCAAGTTCTTATGTTACTTTTTAAGAACTCTTTGAAAAACATCTCTAAAGGAACACAGAACTGTAAATATCCTGACATGCAATTTCCTCATCAATTACATATGACAGCAGTCAATCACTATATAGCAATTATCAAAAATATTGATCAATTTTACTATTTACTTAAACTTAACACTTAATTTTAGGCTATATTAATTTCATACTGGAAGTAACCAATATTTTGTCACTAATGTTTTGTCAGAAGATTTCTGGTTCTATTGGATGTCAATTCTGACTGGTCTATGTTTTCTATATTTATTTATAAGCATCTCTAATCCAATTCTAGGGACAGCTCCAAGCGAGAATCAAACCAGCTCTCTCAGTAACACTATTGCTAAGAAATACTGACTAGAACCAGGAAAAATCTCTTACAAAAACAAAAATAAATAAAATACTGAGATTTTTGCTTGTTTCCTCCTTGCATTAGAGGACACAATTCACAAGGCTCGGGCTCCTTAAACACCATTTTTTTAGAAGATTAGTTTTCTATTTACAACTATTGCCTCCTTAAAAAGAACTATGTATATTGAAAAAGAGAGTAGCTAAATAGTAATAAGAATCCAGAATTCTCCATACAAATTGAAGAACACTAAGTTCCTATAGTACTAGATCAGAACACCAAAATACCTGGATTTGCTTTGAGCTTGTGAATTTAATCCAGTCCTTTAACTCAGCAACACTGGCTGGGTAAGAAAAATGAGATTTTCCCACCATTTCAGTCTGACCCAGAGATGAAATTTCAGAATGAAGATCCTTTACAGAACTGTGTTTTGTCAGCCTTTTCGTTGCTTGGTGTTTCAGAGTAGAGACAATAGGGTGGAAGAGACACATGGCAGCCTGCATCACCTCAGGTTTCATAAAGCTTAACCATGTGAGCTGAAGTCACAGCGTGGACAACTTCCATGAGCTCAGGATATTGAATACTACTAACTGAGGAGAAGTAAAGAGAGCTCTGTAGCCATTTCTAGAGAGCTTTTATGGATTTCTCTGTGGAACCTGTGAATAACTTAATATATGAATTTGGAAAAAAAAACTGGACAGAGAAACATGGCTCACATGCAAAAGTGGTTAGTAAAATAATTTCTAACCTAAGAGAAGGTCCTGCCCTTGGTGATGTAATAGATCCTGAAATTAGAAGTGCCAAAGACTCAGAACAAAAGGCAAAAACCCCAACCTTATACAACCAAAGAATCAAATAGGAGAGAAAAGCACTACAATTAAGATTCGTAGTGAAGAAGATTTATGGAACTGAGTAAATCCCAAATTTGCTCTGGGTTTGGAGGTGCTTATTTGATCTCAATGAAGGCTATGTTTAAGAGATGACTTGCAACAGATCTTTATGTCAGAAAGCTCTAACCCACATAGTAGCAACAGACCACTATGTAGAGTAATTTAGTGAATGTTTCAGCTTAACAGTAGTAGTCAGCAGTCAATACCAGGATACAGTTCTATTGTCAAGACTGGGCACAATTTTCAAGTATACTGTGTGTTTCTGCCCTGGTGACATCTGGAATCATACACTAGTACACCTGCCTGAACACTTACAGAAATTACAGCAGAAGTCTCCAACATCAAGCAACTAGTTAAACCACCTCAGTGTAATCTTGTCATCTTCAGAAATGTTCATTTAAATATACTTATGCTAGAAACAACAAGTTAAACAGTAAAAATCAACATTCTGTGATTCCTAAAACATATAGAACACTTACCTGCTACTCTTTCATCCGTTTCTCTATTGCCATCATCGGAGTATCTTGCAAAATCTAAAGAATCAAGAGTACTGATGCTTCCAGCACGATCTTAAGGGGTAGGAGAAAAAAATAAAAGATATCAGAAAGAATCCTGAAGAGCTGCCTTTTATAGAGAAAGTCGTAGAGAAAGTCAAAACAGCATCTCATTTCAGAAACTATAAATTGGAGGCTACATGTTCTGCAAGACTCAAGTTGTATTGCATTTTCTGAAGGTCTGTAAGTAGAGAGTACATCAGTAAACTTGAACCAAAAATGCAGCACTACGGCAAGTTCACTGAACAGACTGTAAGATATTTTTGCTCTCCCTAAAAGATGGCATTTCTACCCTGTTCACAGCAGATGAGGAGCAGTGCATTGCAGCACTTCCCCTTTTCCACAAGGGCCAAGGACTTTGGCTTGGACACCCAGGTGAGAACATAAAAGAAACCAAACTGTTGTGTGACAAGTTTCAAGCAGTTCCCTTTTAACAGAAACCTGTGACTGCCTCAAACACTCTACTTCCTTTTCCCATGTTTAGTATTTTAAGGCATGTCACTGTGACCAAATACTTTTTTACATATCTTCTGATCTAGCTTTTAACTTCAGTACATACCCACTTAATTAACGTTTTTTAAGGAACGCAGTATCTAACAAAAGCAAAGGAAGCACAGTTCACGCTATTGCAGGTATAATATTTGCACTCTATAATTAAATCCTGAATTTAAAAAAGAACAAAAAAAATCAAGAAATTCAGTAGCCAGCATACAGTTTGGATCTGATCTTGACATTTTTCATTTCACAGGAATGGCAAAGAAAAAACCATCAACCAAAATGCAATTTTGGTAAGTCTGTTGAAGCACATATTCACCTTTTTATTATAAAAATGCATAAATTACTTGGTAACAGAACTTAAAATAAATTGAACAGTTTCTTAGCACAATTGAACATGCAGAAATTATATTAAGTACCTTAGTATCTTTCCTCTCCTTTTGAAATTAATTTCTATGTAGCACTTCAAGAATAATTTTAATTACATTAGAACTGTTGTCACATTAACAAAGAACAAACTCCACAGAGCTGTCAAAAAACCTCTTATCTGTCAGTGGAAATAGAAGCAATTTCATCACTTGTCAGTCAAACTCTGTCATGACTAACATCATTAAGTATTTAACCACTCCTCCCATTCTGCATTATGTAAAAAAAGAAAAACAAAATAAAAAAAAATCTATTAATGAATTTCTTCGTATATTTGTGCTTCATTTTACTGTAAGGTCTTGTGACATTCTCTCTACATACAGACCAGCATTGCACTCAAATAAGAACATCTGAATTAAGACTGAATGAAGCATTTACAGTTAAAAGATACAGAGGTACTAAAGTTACCAACTCTAGCTGAGTTCCACAACATCAAGACTTGCCTGAAAACCTTATACTTTATGTCCATGGAACAGACAGGTTATCACAGTATACAGTATATATCTACCAAAGGGTTTTTTCCTGTTGCAATGCTTTCTAATCCAAACAATGAAACAAGCTGTTGCTCCTCAGTGAGTCTCTACTCAGCCATTGGTTTTAAACCTCATTGCTCATATGCAGCTTCCAGTCTCATTCTCCGCATTTTTTTCATACATTAGTCTGATTTAGTAATTTTCTGTAGGCTGTTCTATATAGCTTAGCAACACAGTACAAACTCTTCTTTTTACAGCATCTTTGGAAAATGGACTGCTGCACATTTGAAGAGATTAAGTTCAAAAGTAAACATGAATTCATGCAGTATTAAAGTTTTTAGAAATGACTTTTCAAAACACCCAGCACCTTGATAAGTAGATATTGCTCCTACTTATTTCATCGGGAGCTACAAGATCATTTTTTGAAATCAAATTCAAAACAACATTTAAATGAAGATCTCAAGGAAAAGCTCATGTTGAAGAGAAGTAACCAAGTCTCACATACAGCATTGCTATGGCAAATGCAGAAATAAAACTGTTTCCCCCTGCAGTCTTGCCATGTTCACAGATCAATTTTCTAATTGATCTGTGAACAGAAGCAAAGTAACATTAACATCAGAGAAACAATGCTCAAATTTCAACTTAAGTCAACCACACCATTATTACTGAAGCATCCAAAGCCATAAGCAACCCAACTTTTTCTTTATATGACTAGTGGTGCATTTCAGAGGCCAAGGTTCTCCCCTGAGAACTGATGAACCCAGGCATAAAAGACAAACTTATTTGCCAAAGCCAAAAACTTCTTGGAAAAAAACCAAACCACCAAAACCCAGATGCCTATAAAAAAGCAGGGGGTAATCACAATCTTTGTCAGGATTTAGACAACAGAAGCTGTTTAAGATCACACCAGCAGCTGTGAATCCAACAACTCTCATATCAATCAGTTGTACAACCTTAAGGGTCCTACAGGAACAAGCAACACCAAGGGGGTTTACCATTTCAACACCCAAAAACTGCCTTAAGCACCACCCCTGCATGCACAGCAGCAATTTACAGGGTGGAAACTTGTACATTCACTATTTTGACTTCGCTTTATCATTACCACGCTCATAATAAAAGCAAACATTGGACTTCCTTTTTATAGAGGCCGACACTGGGAAGATGCACAAACAGCCAGATTCAGACTGGTGAAACCAAGAAAGATCTCCTAAGGAACCTCAGCCCTCATGGGTTTCCTGCTACCATCATTTCACTCTGACAGTAATGCTGATTCTCCTTCCATTACAAAAGTACACACCCATTAGCACACCCCTAACCCAAGATGTGCCATTACCAGCACAGTCAGGGCACACAGGCACTGCTGAACAGTGAAGAACAGCAGGCCTGTGCCATGGCCCCACCTGCCTAAAATGTCACCATGGGGAAACTGTGTCTGTGACCTTGCTACTTACAACTGTCTCTGTAAGCAGGCATCAGAAGAGGTTTAACTCCTAAAACTAATGCCATTGTTCAGAAAATCATGGAATAACATCTTATAACCTCATATTTTACACCTCCATAAAGGATGTAGCTGCTCTGCAAAGGATCGAAAGGGTGTAAAATGTCAGGATCTCTAGCTGGTCAGAGTGACCCCGAGAAAAGTTGGAAAGTCTCTTTTCCCTGCCTGGTGCTTGAAGGAGTCAGGGCTCTTCAATTCTTGGTCTCAAGGTTGTTTATTGTATCTTATCTACAAAATTCTTTCTCCTGTCCTGCCAAGGTCCGCTCATCAAGACAGTCCGAGGCATTCTGCCTGCCCCCGGGGCAGTGTTATGTCTTTATACTAAAAACTACATATGCAATGTTTACAATTACTTTCCAATACCTATCACCTATGTTAGACAGTGAGCTTCTACTCTAAACCAATCTGCAAGTGCCAACATCACAGCAGAAGATGGAGGCCAAGAAGAAGAAAGAGAAAGACTGGACACACCCAGATACTTCCATCTTGCCTCCTGAACCCCCATTCTAGAAACCCCAAAATCTACTTTTTCAACCCGTGATAACTTCACTACTATTCTACCTAAACTGTTGTGGCTTGCTGGTCTTCATATAAGGTTGGTAATTTGCTCCATGGGTCATAATCAAAACCACAGGTGTTTTGGGCTCCATGCCAGCGCTTCTGAGCCCCCTGGCAGGGGTCTTGGCCGTCCTGGACAGCCAGAGGGATGTCCTGGGTTCCCACAGTACAAGGCACCTCCCTGCTGGCAGCACAACAGCCTCATTTGTTGGGAAAATGGGCAGGGCTGTTTGAAGGAAAGGAATTGAAGGGAAAGGCTGTGCTCAGTCCCACAGCTCACCTGAGGAATGTGAAATAGCATTTGTCTGAAGTACAAACAGCTGTACTCCAGGATACTGAGTGGAAGCATTTCAACTACAGCATTCAGAAAAGAGAACTAGTTTCTGAAATAAAAGTGAAGAAGAAAAGAAAAAATTAGATAAAAGTATATACTCAATTTTTAAAATAAAAATAAAAATTTGAGTCTCAAGTGATTTGGCAAAGAATATCAAAGCAACTTCTTGTGGAGAAACCACTGAAAAGGAAAAGTACACTTTGGCTGAAATCTGCTTCTTTCCCAGAAAGAAACCCAATCTGCCACAGCAGTGGGAACCCATTTTGTTGTTTTGGTATGTTCATTCTTATCAACAGTCTCCTGTGCATGGATTTTAGCTTCTTTCTCTGAGTTAAAACACTTTATAATCAGCAATTCCCTTTTGCTAAAAGCTTTCCTAGTGAATACTGGCAAAATAATTGCTGTCAGCTTCATGTTCAGAAATGGTAAAAGCAAAGTAACAAGAACAATTTTGACAAGCAGGTATAAACAACTGCAGAACATGGATCACCTCAATATGGAACAAGAAAGCGCACAGAGCAGCAGTGAAATAGGCTTAGGGTTTTCATAATTCATACCAGAGAAATGCCAGGAGACATATCGGGATAATAAAGGAGAGCCTGTGCACAGTTCTTGTCTCTTACCTTTACCACTGGAAAAGGATGAGCAAAATCAGAATGCCAACATTCATATACTCAAAGATAAGAAGATTTTTAATCCCTTAAAAAATGCAATGCATTTAATTTCATTTCTGAAGTGAAAAATTGGGTTCAACATCACATTTTGCTTATTAACTTATACACACTTTTAAAATATTGCTTCATTCCAGAGGAAAGGATTTTTAATTCTTTTCTTATTCCCAGAACTGGCACCAAATGACATGCAGACTTCTGCTGACAGCTTCTGTTCCCATGGCATATATTCAGCTCTCCCTGAAAGCTGAGCATAACTACCAAAGTAGGAAAATGTAAGGGAATCTCAAAGTGATACATCCCCCTCCACTGACATACATAATATGAAAAAGGTTATGCTTCATTCACTCTGATGATAAAAGGAGATTATTTTTACCAGTTTACCTAAAGGGCACCAAGAATGATCATATTAGCCATATTTTCATGTTAGCCATATTGTCACAGTACATCCATTAAGTCAAAATAAGTTGCAGTCTTCTACAAAATCTCATTAAATAATCTTTACATGTTCATGACACTGTAAATCAGCTAAAAGCATAGACAAATTAAGTGGCATTACT